CTCGTTATTTTCCACGCTGCATAAAGGGTGGCCTCAACGCCAGTCACCGCATTACGATACATTCCACTAACTGCAAAAGGGTTACGCAATATTGTTTGGATATGCTCATCCACCGAAAAAAAAAAGAACTTTCACCGTGTATTTATTTTAAGGAAAATCCGAAACGGGTTTTTCATCGTGCCGAAAGCTCTCTAGCATTTGCCGCGCGGACGTTAACGTTTCACGAGACTTCCTTGTTAATCGGAATCGTCGACTTTCTTTGAAAGAACAGGAAGCGTGGGGGGATGGAATCGCTGCGAGGCTGAGAAAAGATGAAAGTGTTTCTCAGGGGTGAGCGTGAAATTAAAAATAGTACCGTCGCTGCCGTGAGAGAGATTATGCATGACGTCAGAGACGTTGACAAAGCTATCAACCAATGAACTGTATCACACGATGCGTTCATGCATCAACTTCTTGCGTCATGCATTTCACGCATGTAATTATCAAAATCTTGTTTACCTGTCCCGATTTCCGTTTCACAATAACAATGTCGTTCAACGCGCTACAGCGTCGTGTAAATTTTCCATCGCTGTCCAGGAAGGAAACTTGATAGGATCATGTTAGGACACTATATACAGTGGGGGACAAAAGTATTCGTACACTTGGAATATAGAAATAAAAGCAACAATATTTTCTATATTATTAATTATATTCAAACATATGTTGCTGTATATCATACATAACACTTATAACAACAAATGAGTAAAAAAATAAAGGCAATAATATCATTTAGTAACTTAATATGGATTGAAATTCACACGACGGTCAGAATTCGCTGGGACAAAAGTATTCATACATTATCATTTATGTTGATAAATACGATAGTTACGATGAAATCAGGACATCCCGATTAATGTTAATATTACATTAGTAGATTTCACGTTGGTCTGGGTTAGTACTAGTCCTGACGGGTAAACGTTAATATCAGATATTTGCAATATGGGGAGGAAAAGTAGTGAAACAACGTTAGAAGAAAGAAAACTTGTTATTCGGTTATACCAGAAATATTAAAAAGAAGTCGGTCCACCGTACAAAGTATAATAAATAAATATAAAAAAGAAGGAACATTACGGAATGAAGAAAGAACTGGTAGACCCCGAAAACTAAGTACTAGAGAAGAGCGTAAAATTGTTCGAATTATTAATCAAAATCCAAATACCAATGCATCGGAAATTGCATCAAACCTTCAGCAATATATGCACAAGGAAGTACATCCGAAAACTGTATGAAGAGTGCTGCATCGGGCAGGATACAACAGTAGAGTTGCGAGGAGGAAACCCCTTATTAGTAAAGTAAATAAAAAAAAGAGATTAGAATTTGCAAAAGTATATACAGGGTGTTCGGCCACCTCTAGCAAAAATTTTAATGAGCGATAGTAGAGGCCAAAATAAGACGAAAATCAAGAATACTAATTTGTTGATGGAAGCTTCGTTAAAAAGTTATTAACAATTAAATTCAAAAATTTCAAATCGTTCTGGAAAAATTATTTTCGGTTGCGGGGGTCAACTACAATCATTTTTGGTGAGTACACATACCTCCGAAATCCTATCTACTTTCGAGAAAAAAAATCGAGTAGGTGCTGAAATTTTTCGGCGAAAAAAAATTTTTCAATTCGTTTTAAAAAAATTATTTTCGGTTGCGGGGATCAATTACAATCATTTTTTATCATTACACTTACCTCCGAAATCGTACGCACTTTCGAGAAAAAAATTCCTTACTGAAAATCCAATTAGGTGCCTAAATTTTTCAACGGAGAAAAAAAATTGCAAATCGTTGTGGAAAAATTATTTTCGGTTGCGGGGGTCAATTACAATCAGTTTTTGTCATTAGACATACCCACGAAATCCTGCCCATTTTCGAGAAAAAAAATAGAGAAGGTGTGAAATTATTCGAGAAAATTAAAAAATTGCAAATCGTTGTGGAAAAATTATTTACGGTTGTAGGGTTCAATTACAGTCATTTTTGGTGAATAGACATACCCCCGAAATCTTGCGCATTTTCGAGAAAAAAATTCAGTAAGAGCGGCACTTTAAACGTTAATAACTTTTTAACGAAGCTTCCACCAACAAATTAGTATTCTTGATTTTTGTCTTATTTTGGCCTCTACTATCGCTCATTAAAATTTTTGCTAGAGGTGGCCGAACACCCTGTATAAACGCTAGTGACGACTTCAGGAAGAATATAATATTTTCCGACGAGTCAAAATTTAATATTTTTGAGTCGGATGGTAATAAAAAAGTGTGGCGGAGAACTAATACGGAATTGGATCCCAAAAATATGCAACCGACGGCGAAATACGAAGGTGGACGTGTGATGTTGTGGGGATGTATTGCTGCTTCTGGGGTCGGTAAATTAGTGATAATAGATAGGATAATGGATAAACATTTATATTTAAACATTTTAAATGAAAATTTACAAGAAAGTGCAGACAAATTAAGTATTGGCAGATCATTTTACTTTCAGCAAGACTGCGACCCGAAACATACAGCGTATATAGTGCGTCAGTGGTTGTTATATAATACTCCCCACATGTTAATAACTCCTCCACAATCGCCTGATTTAAATCCCATCGAGCACGTATGAGCGAAACTTGAAAAAAATATTCGAAAACACGATATAACAAGTAAAGAACACCTGAAAGAAATATTAAAAAAAGAATGGTATAATATAGAACTAGACTGCGTAAAAAATTTAGTGTTGTCAATGCCAAATAGATTACAAGAAGTAATTCGCCAGAAGGGCTACCCTACAAAATATTAATTTAAAAAATTAAATGTATGAATACTTTTGTCCCAGCGATTTCTGACCGTCATGTGAATTTCAATCCATATTAAGTTACTAAATGATGTTATTGCCTTTATTTTTTACTCATTTGTTGTTATAAGTGTTATGTATGATATACAGCAACATATGTTTGAATATAATTAATAATATAGAAAATATTGTTGCTTTTATTTCTATATTCCAAGTGTATGAATACTTTTGTCCCCCACTGTACCTAATATGATAATGTAAAAAATTGTTTGTTTTATTATACATTTATACAAGTTGATTATAACACTTTACAACCTTTTAAAGGAAACCACTATTAGATTGCAATTTTTTAAATATTTTCAGCCGTTTCTATTTACTTTTTTTTTTTTACTGTACATTGACTGTGACACTCTGATAATGCATGCGTAAGATAATTCTGTCCCCTCGAGAATTTGGAAATTATGGAAAAATCTTAAACAAAAACGAATACCGAATGAATCGTAACCATGAAGAATCGATTGTTTAAATGCATTTTTCATATCTTTTACGCCATTTCAGGGCAAAATGGGATATTACACTTGTTGCTCCCTAAGTATATGCAGAAACACGTTACGAAAGAATTTTTTCATTCCCGGTGATGGTAAAGGCTCAACGATTTTTAACATCGTTCGTGTTACGTATGAGTATTGACGACCTGTGCATCGAAATTCGTGTCGTTCAACGTCTCTTTGAGACGAACTGAGCTCAATTGTTCGGTTTCATGGGTTAATAGTTTAATCAACGCTCTCTGTGCTTCGATCTGCGTTCGTTGCTCTTCTTTGTACGATGCCGTTGGTTCGATTGAATCGCCACGTGGAAATTGCTGCATCGGGGAATAATTGAAAACAAACCCAGTCCACGCGGAATTAATTTGTAAAATTCGCGTTACCGGTACCGCGGAACGAAACGCGTGCTCTACTTAAACGCGCGAAGTAACGACACATTTTAACGACAACCGACAAGGGTAGCCAGTCGTTATTTTGAACAACAGCCGTGTTTTGCCCATTCCCTTTAACCCTTTTTGCAATTCTTAAATCACAAAGTAAATATTCTCTAGTAAGACGAAAAATCAACCACTGGCCATCCCTCACGACCATTCGTTTCCTTATCTTTTGGACGGTGTTTGTTTTTCGTTTAAATTTTGTTCAATTTTATGAAGTATTATAAATAAACACAATTACAGCTTTGATCGACGCAGTAATTAGGGATTTACGTATCATAATTCCTTGATAAAAACCATTTAAATAGAAAAGTATGGGAACGATGGCCACGTCAATCACGATAGGTTTTAGCTTTTATTCTGCCCTTTTTACTTCTATTTTAGTTTTCGCGCTCTTTTGTTTCTGATCGCATGTATGGCACAAATTTGATGCAGTTTTCGCAGAGCCAATGAAAGCATACCATACACTGCATTCAATCTTCAGTCTTTTCGGTCGAATAGTAGTTTTTCCCCACACCGTTTGCAATAGTAGTACAATCACTGTTTATAGAAATACAGCTATCCAAGTTGCTAGGGGCGGAGATTAATTTTTTCACTGCATTTCGTAAAAATAATCAACTCTACGCCGTACAAAATATGAGCTTTGAAACAACGTGGCCATTTCTCCCGCTGGTCACGTAATCTATTTATCACGATCAGAGCAATAAATAATTTTAAGTTATATACGCTCGATACAAAATATTGACTATATTGCAATATATTTTCCGTTGCGATAAAATCAACGACAGAATTCTCGCTTTTCGCGCGACAAACATACGTTACTGTGTTTTTGTTATCACCGACATTATCTTTGATAATATTTAATATCCCATTCTAAAATTCAACTATTTTTTTACAAGAAATCCAGTAGAGACAATATCCTCGCTGGTGTACGTTAATAATTTGTTTGCTTGATCTGTTTCCTATCTGTGGAACGGAGCCAATCGTGTCGACAGCGAAAATACCTTTGCTTTCGACCAGCAGATGCGTTGCAGCTTGAATCGCTCAAAATGTTTATTACAATGCGTTAATAAAATACAGAGACAATATACCGAGAAGTCAATAAATACGATTACCGATGTTCACGTTTGTGTACCTTGGGTTTATCGTTTAAAAAAATTCCCCCGTTAAGAATCGTCTTTTTGAATTCTTTGCTGATAGAAGATATTCTGTTGTTTGTTGTTGACAGACAGCAACTTTGTGCTGGGAAATGCGCAGGTTCCGCCGACCTATCCGATCGTTTACTGCTCCGACGGTTTCTGCGAGCTGACAGGATTCGCGCGAGCGCAAATTATGCAGAAGGGTTGCGCTTGCAAGTTTCTACATGGACAGAAAACGAAAGAAGAGGAGATAGGGATGATCGACAAAAGCCTTGAGAGCAAGACGGAACTGAAGATGGAGGTCGTGTTTTATAAGAAGACCGGTAAGCTTCGCGCGGTACAGCGGTAAAAATTAAGGAGAGCTCCGGAAGTTTGCGCTTTTTCCGAGTTCGGTGGGTTAAAGAGATAGAGTTCGTGTCTACGTTGCAACTCCTCGAGTTCAGAATGCAGGCAATTACGGACAGTGGAACGCATCAGCTTTCGATTCGATTCGCAGAAGCAACTTGGAGTTTGAGTACGCTGCAAGTTTTATCCCCGACTTACTTAGCTCGGGTTGATTTTCAACCCTGTTATTGGCTCAAAATTATTTGAAATTCTAACGGAAACGATTCAGGAATGCAACTAGTCTTGTCTCGCTTAAATTAATTTCACGGATAATACACGGTGCAAACGCGTGCAACAGACACGTTTAATCAGTATAATCGATCCAATCAAGTGTGTATCATATTTGCGTGATACTAACCGTCCGTATTTATTAATAGTTTGAATGGTCGTGTTCGAACGATGAAAAAAACATCGCGTACATAAAATCGATGGTGCTCGTTCGTCGAACGGTTTAGGTCCTCTTTCTCATTACGCTTAACAAGATTTAGAATCCGATATTAATTTCCAGGGGACCCGTTCCATTGCTTGCTCGACATTGTTCCGATCAAAAACGAAAAGGGCGACGTCGTTCTGTTTCTGGCATCGCACAAGGAGATCAAGAAGGATTTTCAGCTCTGTGAGTTGCACGACAGTGGTGAGTTCTGGCCATGCTTCGCTGCTGAACGCGAGTCCGACGAAACGATTTTCTTTGGAACGCATTTCGATCGGCGAATTGCGTTCCAAAGTATCAACGGACCCATCGAATATGGATTAAACGTTCTCGACGTTCATATTTTTTTTCTTTTTTTTTTTTTCTCTCGACTTACCCAACGTTTCGCGTTTCTCTACACCGCGATCCACGCAACACGCTGCACGTAAAACGCAATGCAACACTATTCTTCAAAGCGAGACACCAAACAGCACAAATCAAGCAGGCCAACAGTTTCGAACAGTTTGCTTTCCTTGTAGTATTTACACGTCCCGGCGTTGCACGCGTTGGTTTTCGTGCAAAATCAAACCCAGGGTAGCTACGCGAATAGGTACACTCAAATCGAAACGTATTTTCATCGCTCGTGCCGTTTTTACGGAACGCGTTTCGAACGAGAAGAAAGAGAACCGGTAAACAGCGAGGCGTATCCATTAGCTTGAACGTTGCTTGTTTTTAATTATTAATTATAGAGAACTATTTGTATCGCGCTAAAGTTCGTTGATTGCATGCCAACTAATTTATAAACTATACGAGGTAAGAAGTGTGCACGGCAACGGTACAATTGCATTTCAGATGCAAATGGTAGCCTCGATCCGGAGGCACCGCCGGCTAATTACGGCAGAAGAAGGAGTCGCGCCGTCCTTTATCAACTATCAGGCCATTACAGGCAGGATAATAAGCCCAAAATTAAGTTGAACAATGTAAGTGATTTTACTTTAATTGATACGCTTTTCTATTGTCCTTACTTTCAGCGTTCTATATTTTTCGTGTGCTTTGCAACTGGATTTACTCTTGTTTCTGTAACGTTTTATTTTTACGTTCGAACGATTAAAATACATAAAACCAATCCTCCATGTAAAAAAGATTATTTTATTTAAAAAATAAACACCAACGTTCAGTTGCTCCAAAATGGAATGCATTTTTTATACACACGTTTCGCTTGCTTGTAGAACTTTCATACAAACTTAAATATTATGAATTTATAGGTATGCTCTTTTATATTAAAAATATAATAACGTTTTAGGAAATGTTTACATTTTTTTACCGAGGTCCTCATTTTCCATATTAGGCTGAAATATCTCCAAACGCCAAAGCATACATTTTATAAAGCTGTCTTACATCTATTCTAGAACCTTCTTCATTCCACTGCGGCGCCTTTACCAGAGTATAAAACGTCAGGAATCAAAAAGCCACAATTCATCTTAAGCCACTACGGCTGCTTCAAGTCTTGCTGGGACTGGTTAATACTCCTCGCAACGTTTTATGTGGCGATCGTCGTCCCCTTCAATGCGAGCTTCATTAATATCGATAGGCCTACGATGGTCAGTGACGTTGTCGTCGAAGCCCTCTTTATAATCGGTGGGTACCATTGTCCAACTTATTCTCCGACCGTAAGTAACAAAGTTCGAGGGCAGAGAATTTCTTCGAACTTCGAACAACGAAATTCTCGATACATCGATCGGTGCACGGTGAAAATAATTCGATCGAAAAGGATCGTCGGGGGGGTGTTCTCTTTATCTCATCGCGTTAAGTCCAAAGTCTCCGCTCGTCTGTTACCTGACCGTCTCGTTTAGTATCCAGTAATTGCCACTCGAAGCAATTTCTCCAAACGTGTACGCAGCTGGATTTACTTTACAAGACTATACAGGGTGTCCCAAAGATGTTGCGGGTCCTTAAAGGGGGTGATTCGGGGGATGATTGCAAACAACTTTTTCCTTTGTGAAAATGCTCTCCGGGGTTTCGTTAACGAGATATTAACAAAAAGCACCGACCAATCAGATCGCGCGCTTTCCGCCCGAGCTCCCATGCTAGCATGGCTACGCGCCGTGCTAGCGTGGCTACGCGCCGCGCTGCGACTTGTGAACAAGCAACTCGGCATGCAACGAGGAAAATTGCGTAGAATGGCAAATGAAAAAGGCGTAGCAAATAAAATCGAACACGTTGTCATGGTTTGTTTGTTATTTAAAGTGAATGATGAATAAAGGATAAATAGATGAAAATCACGTGTAACGTAAAAAGACGAATACACATTTTTTTTAGAGGATTCGAAAATAATAGTTATTTGAAGTGGGAGGATATGGAATACGTAAAATTCCTTGTGTCAATAACGTATCCACGAAAAGGAAATTAACGAAAAGTGATCGTAGTTCGTTATTGTGATATAAATCCGTAATTTAATAACGACCAGCACTGTTGCTGATAACGAATAAGTCTGTTTAAAAAGCCCGGATAAATATTTTCGTACGAGAATTTTAAGAATTATTGCCGGAAACAAGCCATAGCTTGCGTTAAATTTAAAAATGAATGATTACCAATAAACTGACTAAAACTCACCCTTGTCGAAAATGCACCTGTAACTTGAAAACTTGTGTCACTGGGTCACTGAACCGATCCTGGTCATCGATGGACGAGCCCAGTGCACAGCTGATCCCAGGTATACGACACTACCCAAAGTTAAGGGTCGCAATGTCAGGTGCGTCCAGGTCAACGTATCGAATATTCACTTCACTGCACGGCTACTAACACTGATCACTTTATTTTTTGTCGTGAAACGTATTGTTCTTACGTCATAAAGTCATAAATTATCCGAAACTGTAGGAAACTGTTCTCTACCGCCGACTAGCGGGACAATACGGTCATAAACCGCAACCCTGGCGAAATGCTCTGGCTGATCAGCCTGATTAATTTTGGAGAACTAGAAATTACAGATTATTATCCAACATCAATACGCCTCGCGGAGAGACACAGGAAGAGGTGGGACCGCTGTCCACCATCTCTCGTCCGGAATACGTCGACGCGTATTAAGTCGCAGACCAATTAAGCGCGTAATTTATGACTTAATTGGTTTCGCCTCGTAGCAGACGTAAACTCAGGGTATCGGAAAGGTGAAACAGGAATGGTATGCATTTTCTTCTTTATAGCAACTCGAAGACTTTCTGTTTCTCTTCTCTTCGGGCCCTTTCGAACCGATACACGTGGTGTATGTTTTCTATCTCGAGGCAATGGGTACAATGGCAGTAGAAGGACAGAACGCGGGCTTTTGTGAAAGTTTTCGTTGCACTTCTGCAGGCCACGTGTTTTTTCAGCAAATGCTGGTTTCTTTTTCTCTAAATTTTGTCCTGGTGGGAGTTAACTCATAATGGAACGAGAGAAGCTATTTCGGGGTAGTGGAAGTTGCTTGAAAAAAATCCTGTCAGTCAGCTAGCAAACCCGTCGTAGAAATGTACACGGCTCAAGAGTACTATAGGATGTTCTGGGTGTACGCCCGGAACAACGGGAACGCAAGTGCTGCTGTGCGAGCATTTGCGTTAGAATTCCCTAATATTCAAACGCCAAGCGAGGATACATTTCGTCGCTTAGCGTCGAGATTGTATTCAACGGGGTCCATGATGCCGCGAGGCCGTCATGTGGAGCAATACTTTCATTAATAACAATCGGCCCCTTTCGGGGCCACCAATTTTTAAAACGTAAGAACAATACGTTTCACGACAAAAAAATAAAGTGATCAGTGTTAGTAGCCGTGCAGTGAAGTGAATATTCGATACGTTGACCTGGACGCACCTGACATTGCGACCCTTAACTTTGGGTAGTGTCGTATACCTGGGATCAGCTGTGCACTGGGCTCGTCCATCGATGACCAGGATCGGTTCAGTGACCCAGTGACACAAGTTTTCAAGTTACAGGTGCATTTTCGACAAGGGTGAGTTTTAGTCAGTTTATTGGTAATCATTCATTTTTAAATTTAACGCAAGCTATGGCTTGTTTCCGGCAATAATTCTTAAAATTCTCGTACGAAAATATTTATCCGGGCTTTTTAAACAGACTTATTCGTTATCAGCAACAGTGCTGGTCGTTATTAAATTACGGATTTATATCACAATAACGAACTACGATCACTTTTCGTTAATTTCCTTTTCGTGGATACGTTATTGACACAAGGAATTTTACGTATTCCATATCCTCCCACTTCAAATAACTATTATTTTCGAATCCTCTAAAAAAAATGTGTATTCGTCTTTTTACGTTACACGTGATTTTCATCTATTTATCCTTTATTCATCATTCACTTTAAATAACAAACAAACCATGACAACGTGTTCGATTTTATTTGCTACGCCTTTTTCATTTGCCATTCTACGCAATTTTCCTCGTTGCATGCCGAGTTGCTTGTTCACAAGTCGCAGCGCGGCGCGTAGCCACGCTAGCACGGCGCGTAGCCATGCTAGCATGGGAGCTCGGGCGGAAAGCGCGCGATCTGATTGGTCGGTGCTTTTTGTTAATATCTCGTTAACGAAACCCCGGAGAGCATTTTCACAAAGGAAAAAGTTGTTTGCAATCATCCCCCGAATCACCCCCTTTAAGGACCCGCAACATCTTTGGGACACCCTGTATACATTTATTTATATTCGAACCGCGACAATCGATACCAAAGATCAACGAATCTGTCGTCGACGAATCGAACTACTCGAGTCACTCTCGACGAGCGATAGATACACTTTGAAAACACTCGTTTGGTATCGCTTTGCGTATCGATTAACGATCTATCGAGAACGAGCTCTTCGCGGGTGTTCGACGAGCTAGTATTTCTTTGCGAGCGACAATCGATGTTTGATTCGCGAACGGAACAAAGGAATCGTTTAAAAATCCTTACGGCTACTCGAATGCCAAATTCGTTTCCGGTCTCGGGAGCCGTAACTTCGTACGAACTACCCCGGGGTTGTCCAGTGCGTAAGCGAGCGTGACGAGGCGCATTTAGAGGCGGGATTAAAAGCAGTTGGTCGCGCCAAGGCGAAGTTCCTTAACGCGATGCATTTCCGTGTCGGGGGACTCGAAAGGACGAGTAACTATAAGAGCAGTTTGTCTCTTTGACCGAGACGGAGAGACCGTAGGCGTTTCCAAGCACAGGCGTTTCTATTTCTACGAGCTCGTCTACCGCCTCGCGCGTCGGGCACCATTTTGAAACGTCGATTATCAACGACAATCGTAAACAATGATCACGATATTTGCAACGTCTTCTGCCTCTCTACAGATATCGTCCTGAACTTTCGAACGACGTACGTGAGCAAGAAGGGCGAGGTTGTCAGCAATAGTAAATGCATCGCCGTGAACTATGTAAAAGGCTGGTTTGTTGTCGATTTAATCGCAGCTCTGCCGTTTGATTTTCTTTATGCCTCCGACGTTTATAGCGGCGAGGTGAGTGTTCATTAATAATCCCAAAATGCATCCATCTTTCTTGACGCGTGCGATTCGCTGTAAAACCGACCGTGGGACACGATATCGTAAATTGATTCGTTGAGTCGCTTTTAAGCGAAATCACAGTTAGTTTATCGTATTCGAACCCCTGACGCGAATAGTTTGTTTCCGATAGTCGATGAAATCGCGAAATGTAAGAAAGGTACGTGCAAGGAATGCTGTAAAATATCAAGAGACGAGTCGTGAATGGAGTTCGTTTACTAAAGATCGATATATATTATTACGTTGAGCGCCGCGGCGTATTCTTTGTGTCGCGTTTTCGTCGATACGCGGCTACGTAACCCAGACGATGAATGGCACAATCATCCAGTCGTCGTAAGTTCGGAGCGCCCGAGAATTCGTAATTACATCAATTCCTATGAAATCAAATATTCGAGAACGCGAACATTCGAGGCGGTAATTCCTGTTGCTCGCGTCCATTCGGATCGTTGCTAATATTATTGCGTTGTTCGTAAAGTAGTTTCGTCTCCTTACCAACGGAGACGGTAATCGTATTTTTTAACCAGCCAACTTTATTCCAAACCGTATTCTGATCATAAACCGATCCCACTTTATCGACTATGCGATATCACGTAGAAGATCGCGAATCACGATCCATCATATGCGTCGATAACGTTCGATCGCTTTTGTGCGTTAATAGCATATTTTTTGCATAGGATTCGGGACATAGTAATATACATTTAGTAAAGTTAACAAGATTACTAAGGCTAGCACGACTGCTTCAAAAGATGGATAGATACGCGCAATATAGTGGCGTGATTTTGACAATGTTAATGCTCAGTTTTATCACGTTGGCGCATTGGATGGCTTGCGTGTGGTTCGTTATCGCTGAAAAAGAAAGACTTAAAAACGACAGTGATTGGGACCTCGGTAAGTCGATCATTTTTATAAGATGCAAATTCATCAAATTTTTTCTTCGTAATTTCGTTACTTCTGCCCCGTTGTTTAACCTTTGGAAGCGGTGCCTTGGGTCCGTTCAGACCCATATTATATATTTTTTAGTAAAATAAAGAAAAACTATAATTATAAATAAACAATATTCATTTCGTATCTTTAGAGTTCGCACAAACATTTTCTCTTATCGAGTATGTATATGTGTACGATATACATATTATTTGACCGTAAACTTTTTTAAGACATTTAGTGCAGTTTATATAATTAATTCAGGTCGAAACAGACCCAAGCACCGCTGAAAAAATAGTTGAGCATAGATATTATTAATATTTTGTAGCAAGGAGCCGTATAATCGTTCCAGGACTTATCGCGCGTATAGTAATCCATTCAGTACGGATTCACGTACATGCTTAGATATACAGATTGATCATCCCGTGTCTCGTTTCACGGAACTTGTCCTCAAAGAGCTTCGAGCCCTGCGTGGAAATCCATGCTCGGGAAAGTTAGAACTATATTCGCGTTAGTCCGTAAACTTTTCTCTCAGATGGGAATTGTATCGCGTAATTTAACTACATGCCTCAGCCACTAGGCAAGCAGTTGTAATGCCATTGCTGTTTCATCGGCACGCGTAAATTAATAACGTCTAACGGAAAAGCTCGAAGACGGAATTCATCCCGGATTATATCTAAGCACGTACACATACAGTGAGTGTAAAAAGTATTCGTACACTAGTCAATTTGAACAAAAACTTTGCAGAACTTTGTTTATTACAAAAGTATGTTAACAAAAACATACATACATATTCTTAGAAATCTCTGGAACAAATGTCATTAACAACAAATTATTTATTTATATTTATTATGAAAATATTAACAAATTTCCAGAAATTGACCTAAAATATACGCGTAATAAGTATTCGTACACTTCTAATTTTACAACAAAAACTATAAATTTTAGTACATAAACGTAACAAAAATCAGTCTATTTGCTATTTTAGTATCTAGTGGGATTTCCTTTAGATTGTATAATCGCTTTAAGCCTTTGCGGCATTGAATTTACTAAATTTTTGGTTATAGTACTAGAAATTTTGTTCCATTCCTCTAGAAGTGCATTTTTTAAATCTTGTTTCGAAGAAATGTGATGGTCTCGAATTTCTTCTTCAAGATGACTCCATAAGTGCTCTATCACATTTACGTTTGGAGACTGTGGAGGGATTTTTAATTGCTGCGGCACATTATATAGGATCTACTGACGTGTATTATAAGCATTATGCTTTGGACCATTATCTTGCAAAAATATATAATTGCCCTGTAACTGCATTTTATTTGCACTAACCTGAAGATGCTCTTTTAGAATATCGATGTACATTTTGTGATCCATGATACCATCGATAAAATGGAGGGATCCAACCCCGCTCGCACTCATAGAGCCCCAAACTGTGACTGATCCTCCTCCATGCTTTACGGTCGGCTTCCTTTTTTCGTACTCGGTATTTTTTTTCTGCCATACTGTACATCGTCCATCTGACCCAAATATATTAAATTTACTCTCATCAGTAAATATAATACGTTTCCAGTGCTCCATAGGAACATTAACGTACTCTTTCGCGAATTGCAATCGTTTCTTTCTATTAATTTCATTTACGAAATATTTCTTACGAGCTACTCTGCCGTGATATCCTCTATCCCGTAAAAAATTACGCACTGTGCTACTGCATACATTAATGTCCAGATCATTTTTAAGTTCAGCTGTGATTTTCACCGCACTTATCTTTGGATTTTGCTTTATTTTTCGAATTATCCATCGGCCGGTATACTCATTTATTATTCGTTTACGTCCGTTTCTTGGATTAGTTTTTACAGTTTTTCGATCGCCATATCTGTCAATGATTCCTTGAATCGTGGACATCGGTCTATTTAAAACTTTAGAAATTTCACTCAGTGTTTTACACTTATTATGTAAATTTATAACAATTTTCCTTTCTTCTTCAGAGGTTCCCTTGCGTTTTCGTCCCATTTTACTGATAATTTCATTGATAATGTTTGAATTCAGGATACATACTACCTATACCGACAGCGTCTCCAGACATGCTGATGCTAAGTATGTTTACATATCATGGATTATCTTGTAATCGTTCTATGTGGAATGTTACGAATCAAAGACTGTACGAATACTTATTACGCGTATATTTTAGGTCAATTTCTGGAAATTTGTTAATATTTTCATAATAAATATAAATAAATAATTTGTTGTTAATGACATTTGTTCCAGAGATTTCTAAGAATATGTATGTATGTTTTTGTTAACATACTTTTGTAATAAACAAAGTTCTGCAAAGTTTTTGTTCAAATTTACTAGTGTACGAATACTTTTTACACTCACTGTACGTACACGTCGGCTGTTTCGCGGACCTCTCCGCCAGCTTTAGAAAGATCGAATCTCGAATCTCGAAGCGCACGTTCGTGCATTATTCCCTCGAATCGAATAGATTTTTATCGGCATTAGCGCACTTGCGACCGACATTTCCATTACAATGTATTCCAAACCGAGTTTGCTACGCTACAAAATCAGGGAACAGACTCACGAACCGGACGGTTCGGTTCTTTTCACGATGGAACGTCGACGATCGATTGACGGGCGCGCGAAGGAATTTTGATCGATTCAATGTTTCAGGTTGGATTCACACGTTAGCGGACCGATTAAAGATTCCCGTGCAGAATGTGACGCACGCGGAAAGTTACATCACAGCATTGTATTTCACTTGTAGCAGCTTAACGTCAGTAGGATTCGGCAACGTTTCGGCCAACACGTTCTCCGAAAAGTTATTCTCCATTTGCGCGATGCTTATTGGCGGTTAGTAATCATCATCGATCAATATAGTACACGTTAATCCATAAGGATTATCAATTAATTATACGATAATCAACCTGTTGGTTCCTATAAGCTTGTTTGTTCGCTAAGAATATGCGTATACGTGTACTAGAAGCGAACGATGTTAATTAGTGCGGAATAAAGTTGACGTAAATTTACAGTAGGAAATATTTCCACACTGTACATATCGTGTATGCTACAGCTCTGATGCATGCTGTGGTGTTCGGTAACGTGACGGCGATTATTCAAAGACTTTACTCTAGAAAATCGCTGTATCAAACAAAATTACGGGATCTCAAGGATTTTTTCGTGTTGCATCAGATCCCCGAAGAACTGAAACAGCGAATGCAAGACTACTTTCAGACAATGTGGTCCCTGAACCACGGTATCGACATACACGAGGTAAACCGACGCGTGACGACGATACTAAACTACGATACGTAACGTATTAATACCATTTCAGACTCTCGAACAGTTTCCCGAGGAACTCAGGGGGGATGTTTCGATGCACCTACATCGCGAGATTTTGAGTTTACCGATATTCGAAGCCGCCTCCCAGGGTTGCCTAAAACTGCTTTCGCTACGCATTAGAAATAATTTCTGCGCGCCCGGCGAGTACCTTATTCACAAAGGGGACGCGCTTTCGTACATCTATTATTTATGCAACGGGTCCATGGAAGTCGTACAGAACGACATGGTCGTCGCTATATTAGGTACGATATCGGACCGCGTCCGTCGACTCGCGTTTCTACAACTCAATTTTCTAACGTTACTTGCATCCGCGTGAAGGGAAAGGCGACCTGGTGGGCTCCGACATAAAAGTTCACTTGCAACACAATAGCAACGGAGGCGGAACAGGTGGAACAGGAGCAACGGACATTATAGTAAAATCGAGCAGCGACGTTAAAGCGTTGACCTATTGCGACTTGAAGTGCATACATATGCAAGGCCTGGTCGAGGTTCTGCGACTTTACCCCGAGTATCAGCATGAATTCGCGAACGACATACAACACGACCTCACGTACAATATACGAGAAGGTTACGAGGCGGAGGTAAATTCAAACAAATAAGTTCGAATAGCGTAACGGAAGGGAAACAACATCGACAACCGTTTTGCTTGGAAACTTTCAGCAAGAGTCGGACATGAACGGGCCGTCTTTGACGCTGCCGTCGATCAGCGAGGACGACGAAAATATGCCCGACGAAGGCGAAACTTCGCCGTTGTCGCCCCCGAACAAATCGCCCCTGCACACGTCCAGTCCACGTCACGCGAAGTTTAGGTACGTCGGTTCGCCCGTTTTTCTTGTCGTACAGTCTGTAAGTGTAGTTTATACCGAACAACAGGGAAGAATACAGAGAGGGCAGAAGAGCGGCAAGGGGAGTTCTGGTGAGGGGCAGAACGGCTCAAGTGATCGCGCAAGAATCCGTGGAAGAACATATTCGAGGGTCCGTGGAAAGACTCGATACGCAATTCTCGACTCTCCATCAAGACGTCGCTACGCTTAGTTGCGAGGTATTCGAACTGTTATTATCAATTTGAAAAAGTCCAAATCATTTTTAGATCCATCAACACTAACCGATACTTCGAATATACCCATTCCTACCATGATCGGTCAAATGATATTCTTTTTCTCTTTTACGAGGCAACGTGCTTCTGATTTTTCCATTATATGTATAGAAAGTTGTGTTTTTAAGTTTATTCGTAAGATATCTTTCTCTTTCGTACAGAAAGTTTGCAAACTACGTCGAAGTTTCTTGATTTCCATCGGATGGAAGATAAAGCATCCTTGAAAACGAATTTTGTTTCGAATCGATGCCATAGTTGGTTCTAGAGAAAATAATTATTTACGAAAAAATGCTGGGATAGTAATTACGCAAACATCATGTATACAAATTTAAATTCATTTTCAATCGTATAAGTAATAGGAATTGCTGAAACTTCTTTAGGTGTATAGCGTTAAAGTAAATATCAAAATAAATATAGAAGGCAGCATAAATTATAAAAGTAGTTATATTCATGGGATAGAGAACGGGGAACCCTTTAAAATGAAACTTGTTTCAAGTCGATCGCGTGGTTAGTTCCGGAGATATAAGGGTTCGAAGCGTTTGTTTACGTTTCATTGACGCGAGGCCAATGACCGCGCGCGCGTAAATAGTAAACAGTGCGTAGCAAATTCTTGGAAATACTACGCTTTCGCGTCACGCGACCCTGTCTCGACTCACGCGCGAGAGAGAGGCCCGACGCGAGGCGTCAGACGGGGACAGAGATAGTCGAATTAAAAAAATTATCCCTTTACATAAATTACGATATCTCGAAAACGAAATGTCGGATCGACATAAACCAAAAACCATTTTAAACAGGAAGCTTTGCCGCTTTCAACGATGGCTTATTTATGGCTAAAATATGAGTAGTTTCGGAACTGCACGCGTCGTAAAGTTTTATGATTTTTAATACGCGTTAATAGGCTATTGCACGTATGACTGACAGCGACATAATGGAATTTTAAAAATTACGCTTTTCTTTACATGGTGATATCACGAAAACAAAAAGTCGTATCGACGTAAATCAAAAGCCATTTCAAAAAGGAAGATTTGTCGCTTCTAACGATGGCTCAGTTATGCAGAAAACACGAGTAGTGTCCGAACTGCGTGTATGTAAAGTTATAACTATTTTTATATATTTACATATTTCCTATTTACATCGGCAGCTATCCAGAATTTGCTACCAAATTTTATCCGGTCTTTTACAAAAAAATATAAATTGTGGTAGGCAAGACAGAATACATATTTTTCTCGGAAAACAAGCAATAAGAATAGAAGTGAATATTGAAAAAATTCATTGTGCGTATACTGTAAGAAAAATCGTGAAGTTAAACGGCGCATAGTGGGGCCATTGCATGCCAAACGCGGCAAAAAGTGGTTTTATACAAATACATATACCCACAATGAAATAATGATTCACTAATAGTTAATGGGACACATGGGCCATGATTTAGTGTGATTTTTTTTATCATTTGTCGATTTTTGATACGACTACATGATTTTGAAACGTTCAATCTTAAAATCATCCAAAATTATAATCATCGTTTATTGTTGCTTTGATTCTTCAAAGTAAATGATGAGTAATTGAATTAAATGTACTTAGTACGTATTTAAATTACGAATGAAGAATCAGATGAAGAATCATTCATAGATTCATAAATTCTTTCGTTTTCTCTTCGTAAAGGTCGTGCCGTCTATTCGCTAATTGCCATCTTCTCCTGAAACGGGACTTCAAAGTTGCAATTTTTGTTTTCAAAATTTTCTGGAACTCCAGAGAATAATTATCCTGTCTCATTAAGGACCACTCTAAAAATTCTAGTTTATTTTCAAAATCATGATTTTGATGCTGTGTCATGATGTTATAAAAATGCATCATTAAAAACACACGTACTCCTGATGAACCTTAGGATTTAAAAAAAAATGTCACTCTATTAAAATGAAACTTTTGCTACGAAAACTGTATTAACAAACTATATAGAAGATGAAGAAAAATGGCGAAATTCAAATATATATATCTGTACCTACCTACTTCAATTGGAAATTCCATTATTTTAACACTAAATATTTCACTCACAACATACAAGTTAGGAACGTCAAACGACAAATGCTCCAAATTCGTGATCATTTTATGCTTTTATAGCATTCGAAGCAAAAACAATGAAATGTATGCATTGTTTCCTAGTTTTGATATATAGGGTTATCCAAATTGAGTGTCACATCTTTCAACAGATGGGACTACTAAACGGTTTGATTGTTCTTTGTTATATTTCACACACGCCATCACTAAGCATAAACAAATCATGATGGAACGCTACACTGTGCAACAACGTGTACAAATTGTTGAAAATTATTAGAAACGTTCAATTTCTGTTCGAGTTTGTTTTCGTGCGCTTCGCGAAATTCTTGGTCCAAATAAGCAACCTTCTGACAAAACAATTCGTCGAATTGTGAATAAATTCAAAGAGACTGCTCAGTTTGTAATGTAACACGTGATACGTATCAACGTGGAGCTAAAAAACAATATTATAGCCACCATTAATGAAATAGAACCCCAATTATGTAATAGTGTAATAGACAATTGGGCAAAATGAGTCAAGCTCTTGAAAAACAGCCTAGTCGGTCATTTGAATGATATTGTGTTCCACGATTAATGTTTCGAAGTGGACTTTATATTAAAATAAAGAAACCTGAAATATCTCAAACAGTTTGTATTTTATTTCAATTTAAAGATGCGACACTCAATTTGGATAACCCTATATTTTTGAGAATCGTAACAATACTCGCAATCGCCGACGCTCGCACGTGCCGAAACAGTTGATCATCTTTATATTTTTCGCAGTAGCATCTAGTAGCAGCTAATTTTTTTTTAAAAAAAAAAGGTAAGGCTTCACTCTACAAAAAGCAACTAAAATGAACACTGAACCACACTGCATTCATAATTAAAAAATAAAATGAAAACTGAACATGTTCAATTAGTTATAACTCAAAAAATGTTGGAGATATAAAAGTGTACTTTGGTGTAATTTAAATACGTACTAAGTATATTTAATTCAATTACTCATCATTTACTTTGAAGAATCAAAGCAACAATAAACGATGATTATAATTTTGGATGATTTTAAGATTGAACGTTTCAAAATCATGTAGTCGTATCAAAAATCGACAAATGATAAAAAAAATCACACTAAATCATGGCCCATGTGTCCCATTAACTATTAGTGAATCATTATTTCATTGTGGGTATATTTATATAAAACCACTTTTTGCCGCGTTTGGCATGCAATGGCCCCACTGTGCGGCGCTAAAATAACATTGTACGTTAGAAATTCTAAAGGAAATTTTTAAAATGGTCATTTCACCGGTCGTGGTAGGTTTAGTGTTGAACGTTTACACGGAAAAATTGTACCCGGGTTCTCCAACATTCTATATTTGATAAACATAGGTCAGAAACGCGATTCAAGCTCTGCAAATACTGGCGTGCTCGCCGCAAAGTAATCCGAATTTGCCAATGCCCGTGAATCGAGGGAGCGGCGTTTTAGCGAGAAGTTCGTCCCATCCTCCGGACGCTATATGCTGGAATCCACCTCCGAGGGTATGCGACGCGTCGACGCAAACCGACTGGCCTGTAGACATATTCGACTCCTGGGTTCGAGCGAACGCTCAAAGGGTACTGAGGATTCTCGAAATAGATCCTGATATTCTTTTAAGGCAACCTCGATCCCCGACACCGTCTCCGTCTTCGCCGCCACCGCCGCCGTACGAACCCTTGTCGCCTGTCGCGGGCACGCCGCCGAAATCGCCATCCCCGTCGCAAGGTAACCGGAAGTAATTGAACATTTTTACAGGAAAGCTCGTCAACGAGATTCCGTACAGTGGCGGTACCTAAAATTATAATTTCCTTCGACTAACAAATAGTCCCCTCTCCTGCAGAGGAAGTCGAAAATTGCACAGTAATGAGTTTTGCGTTGAAAAACCCTTTGTACCAACTAAAACACACTGCGTCTCGTAACTACAAAACCATCCAAAAATGTTCAATTTTATATATATTTTATACGTTAGAAATCTATGTTTCCTTAGAAACAGTTTAATTATATTTATTTTAAAAAAATTTACTACGGAAAACTAATTCGTTATTGTTTCATGACTATAGAACCAAAGCACTCGAATGTTATTCTCTGTTGATGTTTCGTCAGTTTTCTCTTGTCCAGTCTGAAAATATTAATTTGATTAATAGTGCCGCGTGGAAGTTATTTAAGCGGGCAAGAATTTGCCAAACTGCAATTTGCCAATGTTGTGATGAATTTTTTTTTTAAATCCTGATCAAAAAAGTAGCTTTCTTCCAGATCTCAACGTTTAATTGCTTTTCGTTAATTTAGCAGCAACGTAAAAAACTTGAAAATTTTAGGGTGATTTTACAGTCACGACATGCAGCGTGTGTACTTATTTTTCTTACTTTTTATCGGAGTAATCTTCGTTAACATTTACTAGTCACCGTTACAGGAAAGGGTCATTTCATTGTCGGAAGTCATGGAGATCGACACATTCCTCGTTTATATAGACCGACGCATTCTACGTGGGATCCCGAGAATAAACACCGATACAGTGCCGGTGACGCCGAGAACGCGTCTCTGTATCAAGCGTTCAGTACCCTGCGTCGATTGCCAGAATCGCGATCGTTAAAATTTGATCCATTCGATAATTGAGCATCTCCAGAGACATATCAGAGACCAACGAAACGGAATGCTCGTGCGATCGTGTACGAACACCGAAACGAGAGCGAAGTAGAAGAGCCACCCGTCTGGAAAAAAGAAAAAAAACAAGAAATAGAAACGAGATGCCGAATCGCGTTCAGATTCGTTAGCATTTCATCGATCGGAATGAAATACCATGAAATTTTTAAGGTCCGTACGTTTTTTTACACGCGCGAAATAGAGACACTCGCATCTCCCTTCGATCGACAACGATTAAAATTATCGTTGGCGTTGACGGTATCTCATTGCAATAGCTGGAAGAATTACTCGGGCAACAATACGCGTGAATAGGATATCCCATCGTATCGCGAAACATTTATAAAATTCGAAAGATTTTTCGAAAAACGTTCGACTGCGACGATATTAATGGCCTCGCTCGTTTTTAAATGTTTCCATTAGTTGGACATCTGATACTTTACTGTCCGGCCCAGAACGCCTCTATAATAAAGCACGTGTACAATCATAAAGTTGAATTGAAAATTAAACTCGACGCTCATCGTGCATTCTTCGTGTTCAACCTCGTTTTAGCAAACAGATCGAGAAAACGTTTTTATATAAAGGATACTTTTTTAATCGCGTATTCCCAACACGAGCATTTGGAAATCGAATATCGATATACAGGGTGTTCGGCCACCCCTGGGAAAAATTTTAATGGGGTACTCTAGAGGTCAAAATACGACGAAAATCAAGATTACCAATTTGTTGATGGAGGCTTCGTTAAAAAGTTATTTACGTTTATAGTTCCATCAGTACTGAATTTTTTTCTAAAAAATGCGCAGGATTTTGGGGGTATGTATATTCACCAAAAATGATTGCAATTGACCCCCGCAACCGAAAATAATTTTTCCAGAACTATTTGAAATTTTTTTTCGTTGAATTTAGGCACCTAATTAGATTTTCGGTACGCAATTTTTTTCTCGAAAGTGCGTAGGATTTCGAAGATAATTGTGATGATCAAAAATGATTGCAATTGACCCCCGCAACCGAAAATAATTTTTCTAGGACGATTTGAAATTTTGTTTTTTCATCGAAAAATTTCACACCTTCTCGAATTTTTTTCTAGAAAGTGAATAGGATTTCGGAGATATGTGTATTCACCAAAAATGATTGTAATTCACCCCCGCAACCGAAAATAATTTTTCCAGAACGATTTGAAATTTTTTTTTCGTTGAATTTAGGCACCGAATTAGATTTTCGGTAAGGAATTTTTTTCTCGAAAGTGCGTAGGATTTCGAAGATAATTGTGATGATCAAAAATGATTGTAATTGACCCCCGCAACCAAAAATATTTTTTCCAGGGCGATTTGAATTTAATTGTTAATAACTTTTTAGCGAAGCCTCAGTCAAGAAATTGATATTCTTGATTTTCGTCTTATTTTGGCCTCTAGAATCTTCCATTAAAATTTTTCCCAAGGGTGGCCGAACACCCTGTATAAATGCTCATCGAAAACCTATTTTTCTTCGTAACGTTCGTTCTTGTGTCATTCCATATATGTACGTGTTGCTGTGATTGATTAAACCTAGTTAGCGAAACTGTTTCGTTTAAGTCGTTACGACGTGTTTTCCCAAATCTATGCATATTTCAAAATGATCATTCGCGACGAGTTTGCTGTATACGAATCGGTGAAACTCGACCATTCTCGGGTAGGGGAGACATTCAACATTTCATATCGTAGTCTTCTCTGGAACGGGAAGACTTTAAACATACCGGAGGAATGAAACTTTTAAACGTTAGAATAGCAATAATGTGCACAAGAAATTTCGATGTATCCGCCGACGTCCAAAATTAGATTAATAGTTACTGGAAAGTAGTAATTAATTGGAGCATTTACTATCGCGTTCAGAATTGTTAATTTCGTGATAGGTAACACGACACATCGTAGATAGAGATCAACCGACCGATTCGAAATAAATGTATCATATAAAAGTATATCACGCGAGTGTATGTCCAATTGTAAGTAATTCTCGAACGAAGTTAATGTAAATAGTATACATATATCGCTATCGGAAATATGTGATAAGGCACGGCTTTGGCCATGCACAACAATTGTATTCGTTCATCTTTCATCGTCATTTGTGAAGGTCTTCCGGTGACAAAGGTTGCTCGTGAAACCATGGTGTTTAATAATCAGATCTGAATAAATCCAAAGAACGAAATTAAAAGTAACTTTTGAAAATACGGAGGATTATGCAATACGAATGACTTTCTAAGAGATCATTCTATTGGACGAATATTATTATTTAAACGGAGACCAATAACCATTAAACACCGCAAGTCCCGTGTATAGTAGGTATTTGTTTAGAAGACGAAGGATAAAATAATTATAGTTATTATGATACCGTGATTTCACAAATGTCAATGAAAGCAGCTGTTTTATAAATATTTCATATATTTTGTTATACTGTTTCTATGCTCCACACCTTGTCACTCAAGCTAAACATATTGTAATGTTGTCTAACCTACTTCACGTATTCTACTACTTTTTACACACTTCGAACAAATATAAAGAAAACATTCGTCATTTTAATATTAACGGAAAATGTCAGTGAGCACAAAATACAATTATTTCTTAACGCGCACTCAAGTGCGTTCGTAGTTGACGAATTGTCAAATAATGTTCAAAGATGTACAATTATCATTCGGTACACCAATTCGGCATTGAGATTAGAATTAAAACGAATGAGGGAAAAAGTTGTTATTCGTGTTAGATATGATAATGTGTAAATCATCGATGCATCTGTATACATATATGTATGTATGTAAATACATATACAAATATGTACATATCTAACTTTTCAAGGATATCAAATAATGAGAACCTTAGCTAAACTTAATTAAATTTTTTAATCATACTAGTTAGAGAATTTTAAATCAACGGCCTTAAAATAAAGATTTATTTTTTTCACTGCTTTTAAATATCGAGGATAAAAAAAAAAATGTGATTTCTACGTGACCGATGTCCATGATTTTTCGTTTCGATCCGGCATTAAATTACAAAACAGTTTAAACCCATAGGATTAGGTATTTCAGCCGAAATCTGAGAAAAGTATATCAACCGAATAACTAAACAGTTCAAATCAATACACACTTCGTCGCGATATTTCTGAATATAATACTAAATATAATTACAAAGAAAAATAGATCTTTTCCAGGGACGTCAAATATCGAGTTATATTGTATCAGTTGAAAATATCGATACTGTACAAACGCGAAAAGAGAAACTCATTATTCTAAAATAATAAAATATATTTATAACTATACTTTCCGAGAGACACTGAAAGTACCATTGTTAATAAATATGATAGCTTATACAGACATAACTCTTTTTAACAACGCTTTCACGGCTAAAATTTCAGTTTTTATCTTGCGCCTATTGTACAAACATTTTCATTGATAATTTCAGAGGCATACCGTGTTACATTAATGTGCATATTGTACTTTTTAGTGACACAGAAAATAAGTAGCAAACACAATCGATAAGAAGAAAAATCATATCTACATTTCTGAAATCTTTCAGGCGATTGTACATATTCTGAAATGCTTATTGTACAGTGTGCATCGTGTAATTGGCATCCTTTGTTTATTCGTCTCATTGAAAAAAGAATGTCAAATAAAAGTAATCACTGAAACACTTTGAAAGGTATTATTGATACATGTACTAATTTATGAACCTTCCTGCACTATAAATTATTTCCTACAGAAGTGAGAGAAAGGTATTAAATTTGGTTCGTTCAAATAGCCCGCTGACATCCCAACCAATTTAAAAGGTCAAGGTTAAGTAAGGGGTTGAAAGATGCGGCTCGGAGTGGCAACTCTCATTGAATTTACTGTTTGAATTTACGGCAAACATTTCCTAGTTTTTTCGAATTAAAATACAGTGAAAACTCGATAAATGTCGCTACTCCGGGTCCGGTCAGCAACACTTACGGAATAGGAGAATCGTCTTTCGAATTTGATTGTAGTTTGCCGACGCTTCGAACGTAGAAAGAGTCAGTAGCTAAAGAAGAAAGAGGGACTGAAACTCGGATTTATCGCCCCAGTTTAAATATCCGCGTCAGTGTGACCACACTACTGCACAGAAGAAAGTTTTTTATTTTTTACTTTTTGTTAATAAAAATTTCACTATCATATGGGCGAAATTTTTCTGATTAAAATGAGACTAAACACGATATAAATCGGTCAATATTTGGTAGCATAATATTGAATTAAATATTGTACTTGCGAGTCTTTCTCTCTTTATTTATCCTTCGTGTGCTGTCCTTTTCTATATTCGGAAACATCAAAGAACGACGGATCAAGGTGCTGGCTACATTTATCGAATGGGAGGTAGCTATTTTCAAACGGAACACTTCCACCGTTCCGTAAGTGATCAAAAACTGCAACACTTATGAGATAGGAGGTTTCGTTAGCTACCTCTGTTCGATAAATGTACTATCCACTGACCTTGCGAAGATACGAGTACACAATATTTAATTCAATATTATGGTAACAAATATTGGCCGATTTATATCGTGTTTAGTCTCATTTTAATTAGAAAAATCTTCCCCACATGATAGTAAAATTTTTATTAAAAAAAAGTAAAAAATAAAAAACTTTCTTCTTGTACAGTAGTGTGGTCACACTGACAGGGACATTTAAACTAAGTGACGAAGGCAATAAAGATTTTTAAAGAAAGCCGCTACGTCTCCGGTTACACTTCGCCTCACTGGTTCAAGGGGGATCCCCCTAGTGGTGGGGATAAAAATGTATCATTTATGGAACACCTCTTGAGGACATTTATCGAGTTTTCACTGTAAATAAAATCGGTTTGTATGCGTTTCTGAACGCTTGCAACCTAACGCCGACCAACGTCACTAGATAGTTACCAGATAGTAAAGGCGGGTTTATTTTTTAGCGTCGTTTTGCTGTTCTATCGTTCATGTATTCACTGACATAAAACTCTAAACTATTAACGGTTGGTAAATAGAATTCAAAACATTGTTGTTTGCAAAATTCATTTGGATGTCGTATAAAGTGTAAGATAAGCAAACGAATCTATTGAACTTAATTTGTGACACTGTGATCAAAAATGCCGCGAACGAAACATGTTCAGAAATCGAAACGGAAACAGCAACCTATGGAAGAGAGAGATCTATTAATGCAAGATTTTGGACGACAGGCCCATTTGCAAATTTTAAAAATGGAAGAAGAGGGAAAAATGGCGATAAAAAGTTTTGAAACTTTTGTTGACGTTACTTTATCACGGCTTCCAATGGAAATACGAAACATGACCCTTGGTGAGCTACTCAACATCGACATCGACGATCAAAAAGAGAATTGTAACAACAATTTGTTGTCAGTTGATAACTGTTTGTTACCACGGGTTTCGAGAATAAAAAAAGAGAAGGAATTCACAAAAAGGATCACTGCTGCTTCTGATGATGGATATGTAACTGAAGGAATAGCCACAACGCATATATCAACAAATAAAAAGGGTACTAAACTGTCTGCAAACAGAAGAACACGTAGCAGTTCAAGGAATAGCAAAATTAAATTTAGTGAAATTAATGAGAATATTGTAAAGAAAACTGTAAAGAAATCTGTTAAGGAATCTATGAAATTTGATAAATTTAAAACCCCTGCACCTGTGAAGCCTGGGAATAATGAATATGGTCTTGTGACTCCAAAAGTCAAACCCAACACACCATTAAATGTATTAAGACGTCCACGAGAAGGAGAAATGGTTCTTAGCATGCAAGGTAGTCCCTTATTAGTTTCTACAGATATTCAGCAAAATGTTGCCAACGTTAATGTGCCTCTGAGTAATGGCAATATAGTATCATTGTTACCTACATATGGACTACGTATGTCACAGATTCCTGTGTTAGATTCTGAAACCATGCAACAACTGAAAACTTTAAAAAGTCATATTGAAAAAGTTATCTCTTCAAAATAATAATTGTTCTTATAATGTATTTTATATTTAATTGACTGATTGATCAAAACGTGTTTTAAATACTTTGTTACAACTTTATTGTAAGTAATATTGATGAAATAAATGGCAGTATATGTTCATTTGATATTTAAACAGCAGAGTTTGTATGTGATAATGCATATGTAGCATATTGACTCTTACCTAGCCAGAATCAAATCATTTTGTCTCAATATTGGCATGTTGCATCATTTGTAATCATGCGATCGACTGAGCAAGAATTAAGTTAATATAAGATTAAAAATTTCCTATAAATAAATTTATTTATGTACAATAAAATTGTTTTACTATATATAGCTAAGGTTGATATCATGGGGATGCATGTATAATTGTTTGTATAATAAAAATATTTTGAAACAATAGTTCAATAACAATAGATTCCTCAACGCGAAGAGGTCAAAGATTTATGACAATGCGAACTTTTGCCGCTCGAATAGGGTAGATGTCCCTGTCATAGCAAGTATGTAACGGATTACAGCTTGCAAAAAAGGAGAAGGGGCTCATTCCGCAAGCCACCGAACGCTGAAGCAGTAATAGACTTTCGTAGGAATTCTTGATCATGCGTTCTAGTACGCATGATCACTGCCGTATACACTTAACTAGAATTTAGGGTACCGTTGGATCCCAGTAAGGAACAAAATTTAAGGAAGTTACAGGGAAAAAGACAAGTTTTTATGAAGAAAAACAGCATAAAAGTACAATAAAAGGTGGAGAACAATTCATTGTTTATTTAGTTTTTACGCGTGTAGCCGATTTATTACATGAACACCAACATTTGTTGCTTGGGTAAGGAAAACTGTAGAAAACCTTACCAGTATTCGAACAAAAATATTGCGCGTAAAAATGAACGTGAAACACACAAATACATAAAATATATAAAATTATACACTGGAAACATATACTTTATCAATATTAACTGAATACATTTAAATCAAATTAATTTCATATGTTTTAATCGACTTAAAACTAAAAATGTTGGAATTCCCAATAGACCCTTTACATGCACCTCCTCTTGCGTTTAAGATACATCTATGGTAGCGGACGACATGTAGCTATGACGTCAGCGTACGCATGCGCAGAAAAGAATCCCGCGAGGGAAAAATCCCACGAAAGTCCATCACTGCGCTGAAGAGGACGAATCAGCCGCATTAAAGTGCAAAGAGAGCACACTGGATTATACAAACAATAAACCGGTGTTAATTTGTGTCGCAATTAAATAATAAATACATAAACTGTTTAAACTTAAACATTGCTGGTGGGAAAATACTATCATTCGTTACACCGACATTATTTTATTATAGAAAAAGTTTCCAAATTAAAAATACGTTAATGAAATGACATTTTTTATTAGTACAATTATTAATATTTTATCAAATATATATCAGGAGCACCTTGTAATATTGTTATTTTTAAATCGCATCGAACCGGCGGCAAATTATATTAAGGCGCGTAGGTTCTATGTTTGTGTTCCAATTGTAAATGCACATGCGCGTACAAGTGTATCTGTCAAACGAAGTGTATTGTTTGCTATTGCTTTGTGATATTAACAGTGCTTTTTAATGATAATTCTGCATAAAATCACGTATGAAATGTTGTAGCAAGTATTTTGGACAGATTTATTAATATACTTGTTCCATAATTTACTGTACCGATCAATTTCAATATCACTTACTGTATAATCGTTGTTATATGCGTGAAAGTGATTGAGAATGTCAAGGTACGCGTCATTGAGTTCGTTAACACAGATTTTTAGGCGGCTAAATCAGATTTTTGTCACTTAAATAAATTATAAACGATACTTGAACAATTTCTTTCTATTCCTAAACTATATCTCTCTGGTATTGAAAAGTTAAACAATAACAACAACGAATTCATCGTTTTTTCGTGATTTTATGCGAATAACTCATATTAATTATTATATAGAACAACAAACTATAAATAAAGTCTAACGAATCGCAACAAGATATTCTTCTGGGTGCAATTTGATTGCAGTATGTATAAAAAGGTACAACTATACCAAAGATTTAAGAAATTATTTCCAACTCAATATTACTTACATTCAGTATTGTTACATAAATTGTTCGCATATTTTAAATTACAGGTACAGTGATTTCCTTCTAAACATAATATAAGTATGTTTATGAATCTGTCTTAGTACAAATTTTAACATGGTGCGTGTTATTACGGTACATAATTTTTTGGGACAAAACATCACTCAGATTGAGGAGCCAACTGCAAGTTGCATAGCAAATGCATCTGGCCATGAAATGCTTCTCTTAGCACTTTCAACACATTGTGTTGAAGTATGGGAATTGATGTTGTCAGATATTAAATTACATACTGTGTTCCCAACAGTTGATACAATTAATCAAATGGCACATTGTGCTAAAGGTGATTATGTTGTAACATTAGAATCAAAATATGGTAGAGATGCGAGCGTCAATAATCAGATTGGAAAAGCAACTAGTAATTTTGTTAGAATTTATGTTAATTGGGCTATGGTAAAAGACCAAAATCAATCTATACGTGCTAGAATAGCAGGACGTGTTACTCCAACTTTAAATCGACGATTGAATAGTTTAGAAATGATAGAATTGCCATTAATTGTACAGCCAACATTAATTGCATGCTGTCAAAGTACTGGCAATCTTCTAGTTGCTTCAGGAAATAGTGCTATTCTTCATGAATTCAAAGTTGAAACACAACAAGTATCAAAAATGAAATTCATAGATTTTGAGGCAAGACCATGGTCTTTAGGATTCTCATTTTCCCCTACACACATGGAAATTGTCGAAGATTTTATATCAGTCATGGATAAAACAAATTTATCTGTTTTCCGACTGACTAATTCAATGTATGAAGATATTGATCAACTTAGTTCTCTAACTTCTACAAATTCCTCATCTATTGATAAAACATCTATATCTACTGATTCCTCGCTTGTGGAAAGTAGTAATCACATGGGAAATCAAGATAGCAACACAGTATTGCAAGCAACAAATTCAAAACATAAAAATTCTACTCAGAATCTCCATTTTGTCACATCAGACAATAACGATACCAGTGGAATAAACACAAAATCTAAAATTAGTAAACATAAAAACTCCAAAGCAAGCGTATGGTGCAAATTAGAAATGGAAGAATTTAACAAAATAAAGTCTAACAATAACAAAGCGATCATAGATCTAGATCGCTTAATGAACAACGAAAGAGATGAATTACAGAGATTAATTACTCAAGAAGTTATTGATGGAAATTCTCAACCATTAACTGTCAATTTTCCATCGATAAGTTTAGAAAGAGCAGGACCCGGACATACTTTAAGTCCTTTTGTATTAAACCCACCGGACATAAGAATCATAATTAAAACAAATTCTCCTGACTTAGGTTGGTCAGAAAATTATACAATAAAAAATTTATTATCTCTTAAAATAGTAACAGTTAATAATAATCCTAAACTGGATGGAAATTCTGAACTATTCAGTTGCTTGTTACTGAAGCCATTGTACATGAGAAAGGAATGTAACAGTTCTTGTTTAAAGAAGTCAATTCTCAGATCAGACAAATACAGGTACTTACAAGGTGTAAGTTGTTTCCTGTGTACACTACAAGAAGGATATCTTTATCATTTCTTTGCTACTAGTACAAATCCCACAGATGCGACCTGTTTAACTACTTATCCATTTACTGCAGCTGTTAATCATGTAGCATTGGAGCACACTGCTTTACACGCATTAACTGAAGCTGGTCTCGAATCTTACACATTACGTTTGTCTCATCACATCGCGAGAACGTTGAATAATATAGATAATGTTCAAATAACATGTCCTAGTGTTTCTGAACCTGTTTGCTTAATCGGTTTACGACCATTTCTGGGAATACAGCAATTATTACATAGCAAAAGCTATTTAGTTCTTTTAGCTAAAGCTGAGAATTCATGGACATTATATTCTTTAATTTTACCTAAACTGGAGAACTTATATTACGACATATTAAACGCAGCAAGAAGTCACAAATCTTCTAGCCCTAGCACTTACAGACATTTATTGGGAGAAGCTCATGCTTTGATACGTCTAGCGAAAGACACCGCGTGCAATTGTTCAGACATCAATGAATCCGATGATACTGCAAATGAAAACAGACTGAAATTGAAGAATTTATATAACCAATCATGTGCATTACTCGCAGATTATTATATCCGGTCGGAAAACGAATCCGATTGGGATCGTTGTATACCCTATTACAAAATGTCGGGACTGAAATTTTCAGAAGTATTATCTAGAAAATCAAGCCAAGATGCACCGGGTCTTGTTACATTTTTAACAGATATACTTCTAAAATTGAAAAGCGGTTCAGAAGCAGATGCTTTATTTCAAGGATTTAATGTCGTAGAAATGATCTGTAAACTGAAGAAAGGGGACTTATTGAAATTGATTTTCGGTAGCCCCGTGTTACGCGAGTATACCACCGAGAAATTGATACATCTTTTGTTGTTGTACGAAACTGACGAACTAGTTAAGTTAGCTTTAGCTCTTCTATATATCCAAGCCGAAAAACAAGAACAAGCAGAAAGAATACTTGAACCAGTCTCTGCGCAGTGTATTAAAAGAGTAGTTATTGAACATTGGGACGTATTATTCGACATGACGGCAATGAGGAAGAAAAGCCCAATGATCCCGACATTCTCTGATTTCGCCGGAACATTGATGCGTCTAAAGAATTCTACGTTCGCTGATATTTTAATACGAATAGTAGAAGATGACGAAATTCTATCTCTTCGTCAAATCATCCAAGTGTTCTTGGAGTACTTACCTTCGAGAGTAGGTCGGGATGGGCATAACGCGGCAACGGCGTTACAAGTTTTTCTCGAGAAGTATCTTCACAATTACTTTAGTACAAAGTTAATAACAGATTCGTCTGTTATAAATAAAAATCAAATATGCGCGGATTTTGCTTTGGTTGAGGCGTTCAAACTACTGGTACGATCGTATCTAGGCAAATTGTCTCAAACTAAAGTGTACAAAATAGAAAATAAAGAAAATATAGACGAAAATTATACAAATTTCATATTCTCAAAGTTTAGACCCGATTATCTAGATAAAATGCCCCCATACGCGAAAGATTATCAGAAGATATTAAATACGAATAAATTAAATGATTTGGCCAATATCGACAAGATTGGAACTGAAAAACCTATACCCGCAGAATTGATCAAGTTACAATTGTTACTGTCCTGTGATTTTATACCAAACGAATGTTTGCTCGAAGTGAAGCAATTTCTTGAGACGCAAGAAATTGATGGCAGCTTGTCTTTGAAAACGCTATGCATTCAGAATACGGAAGAAGTAACAAGTATACTAATGGAGAACTGTCCGCAAGCTGTTACCCAATATGCAAAGGTACATATGTACTGCAGAAAAATAAAATTATAGTAATGCTATTAACTATAATTTTTTTAAATAACCTTTTACAAGAGATCTGATATTTTTATGATAAAATGTTACGAGATTTCTTTTGTAATTGCAGGATATTTACACTAAAGAATCTGAATGGAAATATTTAATTGAATTAACGCAAAATAAAATATCTATGTCGACCAAACGACAAGATTTGCATTGTTTGTATACGCAAATTAAAAAAGGTAAATCTTGTCGAAATGCTTTGTAATATTTCTGCATAGATGTTTTCGAATGTACGGAATAATGTAATGTATTTTTTTATATTTCAGAAATTCTAAATTATCTACCGCGTATACTATCGTTAGATAGTTTGCATTGTGTTCTTCCAAAAGACGACATCATAGCATTCCAAAAATGCACTGAAATGTGCACGCAGATTATGCACGCGGAACACGTTAAATCCTTAATAATGGAAACTGGACAGGAACTTCTGTCGACTCTGAAATTATGAGCAACAGTTCGAACTAATTAATTGTATCGTCATACGACGATAGCATAGGTCCAATTCATTTTATTAATAAGAGAAAAACGGTATAGATATCTTAAATGCAACACAATAAGTTGCGTTATATGAAAATTATATAGAGAAGGAAAATTCGAAGCAAATTATACTTAGTAGAGTTTGTTAAGAACAATAATTAATTCTTCATGTGATACGACTTTTGCGAAGTCCTATTAATCGCAATTTATTACTTAACGAATCAAATCAGTCGTTTATTTCTTCATAAAAAGTTCATCTGTATCACCAATCATTTTTCAAGTATTGATTTCACTTTCGTGAAAGACCCTTTTATCAAAAGTAATGATAAAATTGCAAATAATTATTATCGTATGCATAATTTTACAGGTATTATTAATATTCAGTCATTTAACCCTTTGCGGACGAACATTTTGGAGTATAAATATTACGAAAATGCAAAAAAGTAATGTGTATCTAAAAATTATTTTATCCAATGTGTAAATTTTATTTCAATTTAATGACTTGTTACATATGTATTAAGAAAATCAATTTTTGTTAATTTATGGTGACGAGTTTCCCCTGATGCAGATTTAAAATGATAAAAATATGTTGTCCAGTTATATACAAATACCGTCCGCATAGGGTTGAAGAAATACACATTTTTTTTTTTATCAAACTGATTAAGATTTTCGTTACAATAATTACAGTAACGCACAAATTTTTTATGGACAATTTTTATTTAAAAAAAACTGTCAAAAACTAGAGACAAATACTATAGGTAAAATTAATTCATCTATAATCAATTGTTGAAATGTTCTATATAGATATATTATATTATGTCTAGACGTATGTTATCTTTCCCTTAGCTAGTGAAATAATTAAATCGTAACTAATAGAAATTTATACAGAACCAAGTAAATAAAACTTAAAAGGGTAGAGCAGTGGTTTCTAAACATTATCGAGGGCGCACCTTTAAAAAAAAAATAAAAGAAAATGTTTGTGTCCAAGATAAATAGTATATTTAAAATATTACAAGAAAAATATACTTCTACAGATGTTGAATTTCGATGATCAATGAATGTATTAATGGAAAGAGATTTTAAATTTTCCTTCGCACCTTCTACTTTTGAAAAACGCTGATTTAAAGTGTTAAATATGATATTTAATATAATAGATTGTTTCATAAATTGAATTAAGAAATTCTGTAGTGGCGACCATATATTTTTGACTGTTGTTCGACTGTTTCTAAAAATCTGTTAAAAATTGTTTATATTTTAACCGCTAAGGGCGGGATGGCATGTGTTTAGAAAAACACTTAGTGTTAAGATGATTATTTTCTATTGACTTCGTTGATTCTATAATGTAGCACATATTTTCATCACTCTTTAAATGTTACGAAATGTGTAACTTTGATGTGCCTTTAGGACTAATTTCTCTTTGTTATAAATCTAATATAATTCTGTTAGAAGTGATCTACGATATTTATAAATTCTAATAGAAATAATATACCTATAACTCATACTATAATGCTTTTTTATTTTAATAATGTTATTAGTTTATTTTATGGGGGAATGGATATTACTTGATCATTGAGAACATATGTTCACCCTATCACATTTTATGGTATATAACATGGTATATCAATTCTGATTTTTTTAAAGCCGAGAAAGTTAATTATTTTACTCAGGGATTAATTCATTTTTATTGAATTCATAACAATTTTATGTACATATAATTTATAACCCATTTTCAATTCATATAAGATGAAATAATAAGAAGCTGTATACCTGTTAGAAATATTGAATTAAAACAACTTCTAAAAATATATATCTTAATCGGGTATTTAACTCTTGTAGTGAAGAAATTATACATGAGTAGTGAGTAAAAACATGAGTCTAGTTATTGTTTGTATATACATTTTTGAACTATTAAAAAATATTTTTTAAGCATTGTATTTACGGTACCTTAAAAACTAAAAACGGTTTATACTTTTTAACAAATAGCTTCAACAATTTTGCATGCCTTCATATAATTTCAAATTCCTTATTCAATCTTGTAAGGTCTCTGAAATAATATACAATACTATATGTATCATAAGTTTTTATATGGTTTTCAATAGAAGTATCGATAAATTTATACCTGCTTTCTATAGCTTCGTTAAGATTGTATTTGTGCATCAACGAAATAACAAGTCTTAACGTCGACCAAATGGTATTTGACATCGCTTTCGGCAAATAGCTTTCGCCTTGCGTTCCGCGACCAGCAGCTTGTTGATTTAAAGCCGTTAAAAGATGTTCACCCGCTTCTCTATAAGAAAATAAGTAATTTCATAATAAAAAGAAACCTATCATATTAAAATGAGTTTACTTACTTATATGCACCAAGATTAATGCACGAAATACCCAAATTATAACGTGCTCTAATAAACCCGGGCGATAATTTTAAGGCACGATGGTATGCATTTATAGCTTCTTCTGATTTCTGACCATTAGCCAAAGTTGCACCTAATCTATTCCACAATCTGGAATCCTTCTCGAAACATTATGTTTTTGAGGGTATACTAACAAAATTTTAAATGAAATAGGAGAAGCTTCATTTCATACATACATTAGGGCGTACTTGTAGCGCTGCCTGGAAACAATCACAAGCTTTATCATATTCATTGGACAAGTTAAAAAGTACCCCTAGCCCACACTGCACATCGGCATCTATTTCTTCCCGTGGATTTATTCGTGCAGCTTGAATATAAAGATTTTTTACTTCCTCGTGTATATCACTAGAAGGAAAAAGTAAATGTTAAGTATAATTTCCTATGTATGTTATTAAAATTATTAATTTCTTACTCGAATAGAATAGATGATACACTGGACTTAGTATGTTGATCAATATTAGTCTTCTTTACTGAAAGATACTTGTATTTTTCATTTTTTAATAACCATTCTTTTAAAGTTAAGCATGCTTGGTTTTGATAAGACTCATTTGTATACGAAACTGCAAGGGCCATAAGAGCAGCACCATTTGTTGGATCAAGAGTCAGGCAGCGTTTTAAAGCAGAAATAGCTAATGGGTCTTGTTCATTTTCAGCTTGAGTTTTACCAAGAAGTAGCCATGCTTCTGGATTGTCTTCATTTTGTTGCACTGCAGCCTCAAAACAAAGTATAGCACTTGGTAAATCACCAGCCTCTAATCTTTTTTTCCCCTCTTCTAACGCATTAGATACATTTTTCATAGGATTTTCTTCGTGAAATTCATACTCTTTGAATGGATCATAGAATGTATCGTACTCCGAAAGCCACGGATGTTTCGTGAACAATTCCTCGGAGGATGATATTTTGTCCCATTCATTTTGTAGTCGTAAAAATTCAGACTCATAGTTGTCTGACTCTAAAATGAAAATTATTTAGCTAAAAGTATATCTTGTAAATGACATTCAGTTAGTAAATTAATATTAACATATACACTGACCTGAAGATGCGTCTTCTTTTTGAAATTCATTTACCCATCTGCCAGCAACAGCTAATTCTTCTTCTACCTTATTCGGAACTTCGACTTCTTGGTCACTATTACTAGAAGTTTTGTCTTCAGACTTTTCATTACTGTTTTCATATTGTTCCGTCCACTCTTCGCTCGTAGTATGAAAATCTGGCAGTGATTTTTCATTGCTATCTAATGGAATATCTCCCTCTTGCTGCATAAATTTCATAAATTTCGAGTATGCAAAGTTAGGATTATCACTATTTTCTATCGCTTCCGTTTTATTTGCTTCGTTAATGTCACTTTGTATAGCATCTATACTATGCTCAATATATTCTTCTGCCCATTTTGGTCCTAATCCTAATTCGTGCGTTTGTTGAATTAAAATGTTTGAATTTTGTTCTATTTCTGGATTCCAGATATCATCTGTATGATGTTCCTAGATCAATAGAAAGACCAGTAAACATTTATACTATAACATTTTACTGCTAATATCATACGTTACAACAGAGCAAACAAAAAATTACATTGAAGTGACGCCCTGATTCTAGATACTGATTTGCCCAAGCTGTATCTAAACCAGTTAATTCTTGAGCTACTCCCGGTGCTGCTATAGGTGGATGAATGTTTTGATCAATTTCACGCATTTCTTGTAATAAATTATCCATTCTAAATGTTTGAGGACACGAAGGATTTTCTTCTAAAAATTGTTTAACTAACTGATCTGAGTCTGAAGCTTGAAAAGGCTCCATAGGTCCAAAAGGACGATGTATTCCTTCTTCTTTGAACCCATGATCACGTACAAAATGTGATGTAAGATGGATCAGAGAACTAGATCCCCCGCAGTCACCCTCAACTAATTCACGAAATGCCATCTCTTTTTATTATTAATATTTACCTGCATCAATCCAAAGAAAGCAAGTTTAGTTTGGGAAACCTTGATTAATATTAATATTAATATTAATAATAATAATAATAATAGTATACATGTGTACATTTATGGACCTTTACACTTTGTAACTCCTGATTATCATATTTGATAAGACACAATAAAATACACAATCATGTAACAAAAACTTCACTAAGCAACCAAGCAGTATTAGCAGTATTAAATTTTATAGACATTAAATATTAAAGTGAAACATAGCTGAGACATAAAATAAGACGTTTACTACAAAAGACTGCTTACACAACATTAAAGTTGAATGTTATTTATGCCTTTGCTGGATATCAAAAAAAGTGACCACGAATTTCGCGTGTACACGAAAGAATAAAGTGCACAAACCTTTTTTTGTTACCGATGTAACTTAATATTTTGATGGTATCGTTGACGTTACACTAAAAACGTGTTTTTATGTCAAACACACTCTGTTCAAGATTGTTCATTTCCCTGACATTGGACAATATCGGTAACACGCACCGAATAAATTCCGCTGTATAATGGTGGGGCGGGCGGAATTATCATAGCAAATGTAGTACGTGTTAACGTTTGATACTAACAAGATGCATATCATAAAGACATTGTGCACGAACAATTGGCGCATGAACGTCAAATCATCGACAAGTTGTTGAACGACGTAAAGACTTGAACATCTTTTCTGTAACGACTAATACATTGTTCGTACTAACAATATGCAATTTTAAATGATAAGAACTTTGTAAATTTTCTTCTGTTGTTAAACGAAAACTTTTTATCTACTGAATAGTTATATAACTAATTAAAATTGCTATGAATATTATGTCCACATTTTATGTCCCTTCGTGCACTCGACGAAGATATGAGATTGTCGACGATACAGAAGATCATTTTTAAATTGGACATATTCTCCTAACAGAGATATAATAAAAATACACTGGCATATTGGAATCGGTGCAAATTATCAATTATATGATACAAATTAATTTTATTCTAACTAAAATAGATATAACGAATCGATATTTAATATATGTAGAAAGAATTTTTTAATAATTCTTAAATATTAGAACTGGACAAAGTTACTTTAGAACATGCATTTCACATGAAGTTCTATCACAACGCCATCATACTATTACGTTGAGAGTTAAAACTTGTATAGTGTTCGCAAAATGATATGGTGTTCATGCTCTAGGTTATTCAGACTCATTGTTACACAGTACAGAAAACGTGTATAGCTGTTATCCTATGGCGTATGATTTCATCGAGTTAAATAGAGCTGCATAGAGCAGGCTGTTTGCAATTACAAATAAAATTATAGTGACAAAAAATTTAGATATGGCTGACTTTGCGAAGACACAACTTATGAAATATGGATGGACAGAAGGTATAGTAATGGAAAACTCATGATATTTGAGTTCAAATTATAAGTATACGTGATGTCTCAGCCAAATAAGATAACCTAAATATCTACTTTATTTTTTGCTGTATGAAAGACTTCCCAGGACAAAGTTGAAGTGTTTTGCGAACTGTATGCACAGAAAGTATCCCAATAAAAAAATGTCAAGAACTGTATGGTTATTACGGTCGTTGAATTTCTTTTTTATGCTCTACAAGGATAAAGAAAAAAATTATGGAGTATCATTAGAAAAATATCGATGACCCTGAAATCTTGAAAAAAAATTTTTCATTAATATGAGTTTGAATGGAAAACACCATACAACTGCACGACTTCCGTGCACAGCTCGGACAAGTTCGGGAATCTTCGGCGCGAGTCGGTTGCCTGATTTGCGAGCATTGGTGCGAGGACAAGGCAGTTTTTCGCCAATGGTCGGTAAATGAGCATGTGGAATGCCTTCACGGCGTTTTATATAAATAAATTCTTGTTTGTTGTTAATTGTTAGGTATAGTGTGTTAGTTGCAATGTTTTACATATTGCATATTATAGGATTTATAGAGCTTCACAAATAACACACTGTACCTAAAAACTTTTCAGAACATAGTTGTAGTGTTTTACATATTTCATATTGTAGGATTTATGGAGCTTTGCAAATATGTTCTGAAAAGTTTTTTCATGCAGCAAAAAATCAGGCAGATATTCAGGTAATCTTATTTAGCAGAGACAACCTGTATGACCCATTTGAAATATGTTTTACTATTATATCATGTTTTTATGTTAATGTATTTGAACAAATTTGTGTAGTTTAAAAGTTGCATACATCAACTTACGAATGAGTTAGCATAATTTCATGAGAAATACTATTCTTTAAGAATGTTTGTACTTTTATATTGAAACAGGCAAAGGTCTAGGTAAAAATGAAAGTGGTATCACAGAAGCATTAAAGCCAAAATTGAAATTTGATACATCAGGAATAGGACATAAAGATGAAGATTGGAATGAATGGTGGGAGACTGGTTTCAATAATGCAGCTAATAATATTGTAGTTAAATCACAAATACGTGGTGTTTCTATATCAGTTTCAAAGAAAAATATGACTGGTGAACATTCTAAGAGAGATTTAGATGAAATGAAATGTAGATATACTAAGAATTATAGAAATTTTCTTAAGACTTCTACACTCCTTAATGGCAACTTAGTAAACGAAGATAATTCAAATATGCTTGAAATAGAAAACATTAAAAAGGATATAACACATATTCCTTTAACAGATGAAGAATTATTTAAAGTATGTGGTGGTAGAACTGCTCATAAAGGAGCTAGGCATGGTTTAACATTAAATGGAAAATTGAAAAGAATTGCACAACAAGAGGAAGATCTATTAAATATAAATATGTCAAATAAATTTGAAAGAGACACATTTATAATAAATAATAATGAACACACTATCTCACCTACTACTACTTTACTCCCTGAAGAACCAAGCACTTCAAAGGTATCTAAAAACACAAAGAGAAAAAATAAAAGACGGATAAATGACCTAAACCATCGGTTAAATATTTTATGCACTATAAGTGATAGCGATGAAAAAACTAAACAGAATATTTCTGATAATGTAACTGTTAGAAAGATTTCAAAATTGAAGTGTACAAAAGTAAAGAAAGGGAGCTTAATATCCTGTGATGTTGAGAGTAGCAATAAAGAGGAAGGAGATAAGAAAACTTATATTCCATTTTCTGTAAATCAAAACTTAAACGAAGAGACAACTAAAAATGAAACTCAAAAACAAATGAATGAGCAAGATGTAAAAGAATTTGATAGTGAATCTACACACAGAAAACAAAGAAGAAAATCAAGAAAGAAAAAAGAAAAAGATCAAGATCACGAAGATGGTAACATAGTTAATATATTGACAGATTTAAGACTGGATGATTCTCAGAGAAAGAAATTTAAAAAATCACATACAAAAGATTCAAATATACACAGTCCTATTAAGGATGAAGACATTAATATGTCAGACTCTAAATTTCAATCAGAATCTTTTCCACTTTTGTGTGAAGAGTCTCCAGATGCACATTCCAAAAAGGAAACAAACAAATTAAATTCTAAAATATCAAAAAGGAAAAAGGCAAAATTAAAAAAAAAATTACGACTTAAATTATATAAAATAACAGAAAGTTTAAAGGCTGTTAATTTTAATGCTGAAGAACCTACTAAAAGAAATTGGATACAATAGTGGAAAATACTGTAGAAACTAATATTGCTAAGTGTTTAAAAAAAAAAATGTCAAAATAATATACATATAATTACGTTATTATACATACAAAATATGATGTATGTATTTATTTTTCAAACATAATTAATAATTGTATATAATTGTCTAATTAATATTTTTTTTATAATAACTCTTGTTGGTTCTTATTCCTTTCTTAACAAAATAAAAAGAATTTATATTCAAACACACGATTATTGATACAATTCTATTTTAATTGTAAATAATACATATATCTTTATCTCAAAATATTTAATACAATGATAGAAATAAAATTTAGACATGAAAATATATAATATTGTTTTTATTAAAAATTTAAACATGGGGGTCTGATACTTAAATATAAAAAAAATCATAGTTTTACATGCTCTTAATATCAGAGTCTCTCTTTCTATTTTAACATTTATTGCTGAACAAATTAATGTCTAACAATTCAATAAATACAAAAATTGGTTCTAGTATATTGTATATAGTGTGTCCCATAAAATAAGTGATAACTGAGAGGAAATTGATTCTACATGAAAGTATAAATTGAAAACTTGGAATAAAATTTATTTATATAGAGCTTTGTGTTTAAGAAATCGATTTTGATAATACATACATAGGTCGAATATGTCTTTTGTTAACAAACTTTAATTTCACGGATCTCGTAACAGATCTTTATCGTATTTATATGCAAATTATATGTATAGAGATAATAGTAGAAAAACAGTATTTCTGCTTATGAATTATCACTTCTAAACATTAGATACAAATACAACAAAATTCATTAAATCAAGTTGTAGTAAATGGTGTATGTATGTCCCAAGCAGGCTTAATGTCAATTTTTTCGAAAACAAAGTGCCATAAAGAAACATTTATTTTATACTCCTGATTTATTTTGAAATGAAAAATTACACTTTTGTTTACACTCATTGGAGGACACCTCGTATATATGTATATGACTGAGAGAGATGTACGGTAATAAATTTTTGTAATTTCTAGTACTGTATACAGGGTGAGACTCCTAATATGATGACCTCAAATAACTCGTAAGGTATTCGTTGTACGAAAAAATGTTTCAAACAAAAGTTGCATGGTATCTAGGGGGACATACAGTGCTCTAATCTGTTTTTTTTATTACTTTTTATTATTACTGCATATGCTTATGTATAATTTGTCTGATAAGAAGCTAACGCAAATATATTTTCAATAAAAACTTGTTATTAAAAAATATAGTATTTTTGTTACGGAGAATCGAGTTTGTTTAAAAATTAAACAACGACTTGTAAAAGAATATATATGATAAATGTATAATTAAATTGCTATTTAGCACCAAATTTTGCAATGTGTTAGAAGTTTTCGAGCGATGTATTTGTACAAAATAAAACGAATTTCCTAAGGCCACTAAGATACTCCATAGAGTCATTAATAATCTTAATTTCATTTACAATAGTGAATGGATCTCACTCAACAAATTTAATGATTATTAAAATCTGAATTTGTATTAATTAATTGTGTTAGTAATTGATTTGACTATTGATACATTAATTATATATCTTGTAATAGGATCAGCAAGAAACACACTTTTATTTACATTTCATGATCATTAACCAGATGATAATTAATTCAATTACTCAGAGTATTAGAAATATGATTATCATTTTTATCATCGTCATAATCACCATTATTAGTCTTAACTGATGCATTATAATGACCTCTTATAAAATTTTATATTATGTAATTATAGCATACATTAGGCTACATTAAATTCTTAATTATTAAATGCATATCGTTGATACTTATAAATAAATATCGTAGATAATGATATTATGTACAAGATACATTCATCAAAGAACTGGATAAATGAACTTATTACTCGTTATCATACCAATAAATAACAGCTATTAAAATCATAAACTATATAATTTAACTTTGTAAATAATTACAATACATAATCATGACAAAATATCGATGTTATTTTATAAGTAGCATACAGAATATACAAATTTACAGAAAGTTTTTAAAAGGAATCAACTATGAAAAACTATCGAGATTAAGTATAAATAGCAAAATATATATGTATATATTCACATAACAATTTTTCTAGAACGTGTAAAGGTCAAATATTTATTCTGAAGAGAAACTTCATTTTATTTAGGCAATAAGTGTTGTGTAATACACTTATAATATGTTTTATATATTTTTTGTTGTATCATTATGCTTACTGATATAAATACGATCGTTAAAAAATTGTATTGAATATTACAAGCTTTTTCTAAAATATGAATGTAATTTTATATATTACTTATAGTAAACATCGGAGATATTTTATCATAACATAGAATGTAAATACATTGCTCAATAGAAAATACAAACATTCAAGTCTTATTAAATTTCGAAACTTATCAGTACCTAACTAAAACTACTAAGATTAATTAGATTGTAAAGGAAGCATGATAAAGTGGAGGAAAACACTTGATAATCTTGATCTTTACCATACACAAGTTTTAATTATGCTACGAAATTCATTATGTAAAATTATCATAATTAATATCATATAGTTTCAGATATATTCTGTTATAAATATAAAACAGCCACTTCTAATAATTTACATGTTTATAAATCGCGATTTTTAAATACTGTTATAACAAAAACGGCTGTATTTGAAACTTGCACCGTAATTTTTAAAATAGTTTTTGGTTAAATAAGTAAATAAAAAGTTCGTAACTCAAATAGTTCTACTAAAATCAACTACTTTTGCCAATAGTTTTGTATGCACGACATTTACTAATAGATCTTTTTAACAACGTTTTTATGTAATCTATATAAACTTATACCATTGTAATATTTATGGGAAGAAGCTGATAAAATATCAAATATCTGGAGTTTAAAGTAAATCTTTTGATTAAAATGAAATTCCTAATTTTATTACACAATAGTCAGACAAGTGTTCAGTACTTACTCGTCAAAGTTTCATATAAGTAGGCAAAAAAGTTACTACTTATACAGGAAATCTAATTGACAGCATTTTCTTAAGACCTACTACTGTTCAAATGGAAAAATAGTGTATAAAACCTTTAATTATTTACTAAATGTCAGTACAAGTCCTTCTTGCAGTAAATATGCATGATCGAGACAATAGAATAAAGGAAAGAAACTGGTACAAAAATTTATGACATTTAAAAATTCAAAAGTATAAAAACATATTCAGATTAATTAATAATTCTAATACAAGTACCTCTTGTGATTATCAAGAGAAAATACTAAATGTCCTATTTAAAAACTTCTTTTAGTATTAATTGATTTAGTAATTCTTAACAAACATTAAATCAAAAATAAATAACAAGTTTAACCCCTTAGCTTACAATGACGTCTCAGAGACGTGATAAGTCTACCCGGCCAAACATGAATAAGACATCTCAGAGATGTGATAAGTCTACCGGGCCAAACCTTGGTGTCGCTTTTGGCACGCACAGTTGGAAATTAAATCGTAAGGCAAGGGGTTAATGTTTAAAAGTTTGAATTATTTTATACACATTTATTGATGGTTCTCCTTTTCACTATATAGTATCCAACATTCCTACCATTTCTGCTCAAGGTAACTGATTTTTTATCAGTATGAGAATGATTACTGCAAGAAAGATTTGTATCAATTAATTTGTTCCATATCACATACATATTAGACACATTAACTTTATGTGTTGTAATAACATTTTTTAATATACAAGGATCTAATTTCCTTGGAACATAACTAAAACCAGGATGATTTACAGGCCGTATTTTTGCATGTTTTGCACAAAGACCAGTGATATAAACATCTTCTAAATGAAGCAGTGGTGTTGTTAATGCTGTTTGATACAACTTAAATGCCACATCTAGACTCATCACATACCCCGTACCCGATAAATAATTAGGATATACTTTCTCTGAATACATATATTTTGGTGCATACCTATATAAACACATTGATGTGGACTACATCTATACATTTTATTACATGTATTTATTCCATGGTAAATTATTACTTACCATTTGTTATTTGGGTCTAAAATAGGTTTTGCATTGCAAATAAGAGAACCTAATAACGTATTGGTAGCTTGTGATCTTGAGTGTAATGTTTTCAGCAAAGTAGGAATATTTACAAACATGTCATCGTCTGTTTTCATGAGGTATTTAGCTTGACCACAATTTGATGTTATCCATTTTAACATCATGACAGACTTTAATGTTAAATTGTTATATGTATCATAAAATTTTTCTTGAATAATATCATTGAATTGGTGATTTTCTTCAGCTATTATACTCTGTAAAATAATTTATTTTCAAATTTGTTATATAAACTTTTATTTATTAACCGTTTGAGTCCCACGCGCCGCTTTCCCGCTCTTCAGATTTCATGTAGAAAAAACCAGCGAATCGGATGAAGCGCGCTCAACTTTTCAGATGCATGTCGCATCGCTATTATTTCGTATATAAGTAATCCAAGTAATACATTTTGTATTTCGTTCTTACCTATCATAAATTAATAGTATACAGGGTGCTCGGCCAACCCTGGGAAAAAATTTAATGGGAGATTCTAGAGGCCAAAATAAGACGATAATGAAGAATACCAATTTGTTGATGGAGGCTTTGTTAAAAAGTTATTAACGTTTAAACTTCCGCCCGTACTGAATTTTTTTCTCGAAAATGCGCGGGATTTCGGGGTATGTCTATTCACCAAAAATGATTGTAATTGACCCCCGCAACCGAAAATAATTTTTCCAGAACGATTTGAAAATTTTGAATTTAATTGTTCATAACTTTTTAACGAAGCTTCCATCAACAAATTGGTATTTTTGATTTTCGTCTTATTTTGGTCTCTAGGATCCCTCATTAAAATTTTTCCCAGGGGTGGTCGAACACCCTGTATATGTATATATATTTGTATATGTATATGTATACATATTTCATAAAATAATAAGTTACAAATTAAAAATGTATTAGCAAACATAGATTAAGACAAGCGCTATCGCGCCACTTGAATCTGTTCGTATCCCATTCAGATAACGCTCTTACGCTGTTCGGTTTTTTTCGATCGTGTTTTTTTAGACCTCTGGTACTCAAACGGTTAAAAACCCCTTACTGTATACAAGTACGCACATTAAGTGTATCGTTGTCACTTTGTCCCAAAAGAAACGCTACCTTTACCGTTGAATTATATACACTATCTAAATTATTTCTGTTAGCCCAAGTATTTCTTATAGCTGAACGGGCTTTGATATTCATAACGGCTGAACAAATAACAATTAGGAGATATGGTGGTGGAGAACAAATGCCAGTAGGATTTAAAACTGAGGTTGTATTCTCTGGATGTATATATGTACAAAGATCTCTTGAAGTATTATATGCCCATCCTGGCAGCTGTGCTGTAAATGGTTTTTTAGAAAATATTTTGTTCTAAATCTATAAATTAAACTATAATCAGACAAATTCTTTCCCTTAAATTCTGACTTTGTTCATGCTAATAGATATAAATATTCATTCAACTTCAGCATCACTCAAGCACACTATAATAAATAATCAGGAGAAGAAAAGTTATATGATTTGTGCTAGTACTCACTCTACTATTTATATTTATTTTTATTTCTTGCTGAAATTTATTCATTATAATATAAAACAAATTACCTATAATTACTATCACAATAATGATACTTATTTTATTGATTGTTTCTTTTTTTTACTTATAATGTATAAATATTCTTGTATATAAAATACATCTATCAGAAATTATATTTAATCTTACATTAGTAGATTCCAAAGATAATTTAAGTTCAATATCAATCAATAATTAGGAAAGAAAGTGAAAGCAAAATCAATTAACAAGACCGGTTAGTTTATATTGCAATAGGATTTCGAGCAATGTTAGTGAATGCATACCAACTGAGGCTACCAAGTGCGAAACACCATTAGACTTTGCAGGGGACGGATTCTCACCTAAGCCTGAAAATGGGCTTTGGACAGAATGATACGCTGGCACATATAATAAACCTAGTGTAGCCAAAATAACAAATCCTACTGCTAATCGCCGAACAAATGATATTCTTCCCTTAATTGTTCCATTATTGTTTATATTGGTGGCTGATGGCAATTCCAATGGCAAGAGTCGCAATCTGTCCATCTAAGTACAAATAACATATCTTTTCTTATATCAAGTTTATAAAATACGAATCTATAAACTGTACTAAATGTAATGTGATTTTATCTCTATAATTTTCTTATTTCAAAACAATGTATTAATCATCTTTGGAATATACATATATATTATGAAAGAAAAGTAATTATTTAAAAAACCAACAAATACTTGTAATAATGTTTTAGAAATAAACGCGATAATAAATTAAATTTTATTAGAAACTTAAAGACAACAGTGAAGCAATTCTTATGATATGGATGGAATTTTTCGCAATAATTTCTTTTAAAAACATGTTATTGTTGAAGAGCGACGTAAATTTGTTCAACTAAATTAAGCATACATCAATAAATCACCAAGGTAAATAAAATGCATTCTGTACGAAATGTCATCTCTATGATTTTTGTATAAAAGTATTATCCATTTTCACGGACGTTCGAACGATTGTTTTTTTTTTTTTTATCGAATCATAATGTACAGTATAACGAAAATTAGATAGAAAAGTTGCAATACAACTGTCAAGTTAAACGTGTACTTTGTAAACAATCTTACCTTTGAGATGCGATGACTACGTTACTACGCTGCATTTGACAGATCTCCATTTACTTCTATCGTAAGTTAGGACTTACGATTCATCGAAGAGTATTATAAAATTTTGTTAACACATTTCAGTGGACAAGACACAAAAAAAAGAAAATGAAAGGAGCATTTACGCCACAGTTGTTTTCCATCCGTCCCAATACACGATAAAGACACGAATTACATTGAAACGGTTTGTCAGAAAAATTCTTTCGTGGCCAAGTAACTAACCTTCTTGACCACATTTACGCACACTAATGCACAGTCACGTGTACATGAGCTCCAGTGCCTCGGGCAGCTTCGGCAATTCGAGAAAGAAGGCGAATGCGAATCTTTCCTTCTTGCTCTCGAAATGATTAAAATCCGATTTGCGTAAACCGGCACACAATTTCGAGTTTTGACCAGTGTTACTAAACGGCATGATAGGGCTATTCTGTAGCCCGTTAATGGTACAATAATAATAATAGACATACATAGGTTGGGAAATAAAAATGCCTAAGCAGTCGAGACTTAAAACCGTGTGCCGGTTGACGCAAATCAAATTTTAGCTGTTTCAAGAACGAGAAGAAAAAGCTCACATTCGTCTTCCTTCTCGAATCGCCGAAGTTGTACGAAGCGTGGGAGCTCACGTACACGTGGCTGTCATCAGGATGCTAGTGGTGGGGCAGTTTCCCCTGGGTATCGGTGTGACGCTGGTACACTGATACCACCTGATAATTTTGATACCACCAGAGGGCTACGTAGCACGTTCAGTTGGATCAGTGGCAACGTCAGTTGTTTCTTGAGTTGTGGATCAACATTGAAAAATTGGCATTTAATCGCTATAGTTTATAAAACAGTAAAGTTTTTTAATTGACAGTTGTATAATACCATTTGTAAGAATATTTTACGAAAATTAAAAGGAAGTAGGAAGTACATAAAGTTTATAATGAGGTTTGAGTATGTTAATTGTTGTAAGGTGAACCATTTATTGGTTTAATTTGTATCGTTATTTTTATGCCAATTAAACCGGTAATGAATACGAATTTCTTCGATACCGTAATGTTCAGAAAAAGTTAGTTATATTTTTGTCACATTGTGAACATCGAGATTCGAAATTTTAACCGGCTTGTATATGTATAAATGAACATATATTTTCGATACAGAAAAAACGAAATCACCGTTCATCTCGTTAACTGATTATTAGTCATGATTAAGGCAATTTTAGTGTTTAATAATCATGGAAAACCTCGACTTTCGAAGTTTTATCAATACTTTGTAAGTATAACAAAGTAGTTAAATTTTGTTATTTCTGTTAGCCATTGCTAGATTAAATAGAAAGTGTCTTACTTTTCCCTTCAGAATGAGGATATGCAACAACAGATAATAAAAGAAACATTTCAACTAGTTTCAAAAAGAGATGATAATGTTTGTAATTTTTTGGAAGGTGGAAGTTTAATCGGTGGATCAGATTACAAGTTGATTTATCGACATTATGCAACACTATACTTTGTATTCTGTGTTGATAGTTCAGAATCAGAGTTGGGAATCTTAGACTTAATACAAGTCTTCGTTGAAACATTGGATAAATGTTTTGAAAATGTTTGCGAATTGGATCTTATCTTTCATGTAGATAAAGTTCACTATATACTTAATGAATTAGTGATGGGTGGAATGGTTTTAGAGACTAATATGACCGAAATACTTACAAGAATTGAAGATCAAAATAAATTGGAAAAGCAAGAGGTAAGTAGATTTTTATTGTTAATATTTAACAGATAAATACATGTTTGTACGTCTTAAGCTTTTGTTGTATAGTTTATGAGTATCAAAGATACCAAATTTTATACATAAAATAGCAATGCACTGTGATAAAGTTTAACTTGGTTAGTCATAGTTGCAATGACTAAGCTGTGTAAACATCCCTTAACTGTTTGGGCCCAATGTGACTTTAATCTAATAAAAATTATGTTTGTAAAATAAAACCATAAGTAAAGTGACATTAAACTTCATCAAGAGTAGCTATCTGAGCTTGAAGAAGTTAACAGCCTATAGCAATTTATGCGTTAGCTATGCATGCATTGGAATGTTTTGTAGAGCAGTTTCATATGGTGGTAGGACTGATTGACCTAACATGAATTTTAGGGAACTTACAAATCAGGACGATCTTGCTCACCTCGTCCGTTTGTCCTTCTGGGGCCCCTTCCCTAAGTAAATCGGCAGTAAAGAAATCAGACCATTTTTTGTACACTTTCATTCCTTTGTATAGTTTATTCGATCCCTTTTTTTTTTCTATTTCACCAAGAATTTCAAAACAAATCTTTCGTAGCTTTACAAAATAAATACTCATAACACGCATGACGGTGCTCTCGTTTGTAAATGTCTGCTCGGATAACAGTGCCTTAATGCAAATGTATACGTCGCTATGCTCTAAGAATAAAATATGTATTGCGTAGCTACTCATTTGTCTTTACTTTTACTAAATAATTTTAGTTAAAAAATCCTTAAAATTTTTCCGTTTTCCATTTTTTCCATCCATATGGTATGTGCAGGCAGGAATCACAGCAGCACCAGCGCGTGCTGTTTCTGCTGTCAAGAATATGAATATACCGCAACAGATAAAGGATATGAAGTTACCTGACTTGCCACAAGCTATAAAAGATCTCAAATTCTGACCAGCCGTTACTTCGTTGGCCCCAAGCTGACTGGTTTCCTCTACAATTTCAAGTGCAAGTAATACCACAACAAGGGTATTTTTCCCCTCCTTCCAAGCAAATGAAAATGCACCAATACTGTCTGCAAACTCTTCATATGATCCTATCTCGGCAGTACCAGAATTAAAGAATGAAGATCGTTTTGGGTTTTAATGCTCTTAAAGGTTATTTATACCGAAGAGTTTTATTATGAAATTTAGAAGAGTATTTATGTTTGACTTTGGAAACAAGGATTTGAAGTAACTGAAATACTATATTCACTCAAAAAAAGATAGATTTATAAACATACTGCTACTATACTAAATAAAATTTCCATCATTCTTATATAATACTAAAAAAAAAATATATTTTCATTATAATGTAATTCCATAAAATTTAATTTTTATTGCTATGTTCAAAGCAGTACAGATTAGCATTATCTCATTTATGAACATCTTCATTCGGTTATCATTAAAGATGCTAGATATTGTTATATTGTATCGAACAAGTACCAAATAAATATTATAATACTGCATGTCAATTTTTATTTGTTAAAGATCATTAAAGAATTCTAAACGTATGTTAATTACTTTTGTATCATTTTTTTTAAATAGGATTATTTATTTTTTATATTCTTAAGAAATTGAACAAAATTGTTAATAGCTATGAAATAACAAAATTGCAAAATAAAAAATTATTTTTTAGATGTAGTAATTTCATTTCTAAGTGTAGTCCATATATATCCAGTACCTCTTTCTGTCAGTGGTGGTGGATATGGTGTATTTTTTAATTTGTAGTAATCTGATGGTGCATGCATTACAAATTCCATACATTCCAGTTTGCGTGGAAGATCTTCTTCTAGACCTATAATATATGTTTCAGGACTAAATCCTTTATCTGGTGGTGGGCTGAAAATAAAAACATATATATGTATACAATTCTATCATTTTTTGTTTTTCAAGATTAACAAACTAATTAATATATATTTTAATATATTACCTTGATGTGGTAGGTAAGAGCCAAGTAACAGCAGCACTTTTCTCACAATATTGATCTGTGAGTAAACCACGAATTTGAGCATAATAAATTCCTCCATCAATATCTTGCATAGAAACTATATCACCCACTTGAAAGTAAGTACCTTTGTAAAATACAAAATTACTTGTAACCGGAGTTGCTGTAGCTGTTGGTGCTTTAACCGGCTAAAAATAAAAGAGACAACGTAGATTGTGTTTTTCAATAACTGATAAATCTTGATAAACGTACAGTTTTTTTAAATAAATTTCTTCGTCCTTTTCCTTTAGGGACTACTTTGTGTGGAAGAGCAGACTTTGAATTGCAGTATCTTGTTATTCTTGTACTCCTTCTGGTAGGCTTCAGTGATCCTGCTTTATCCTCCTCTTCGTTTCTAACGTTCGGATTCGTCTCAGAACTTCTTTCTTCTTCGAGACAGGCATTACAAAGGTTACCGGCTTCGGTTGAGTGCCAAAGTGGGGTCTCTTGAGTCCCACACTTCACACATTCGGGTTTACTGCCGAGAGGCATTGAACTTTAATTAATTTGATGTCATTAATTATTTATTCACGGACGGTCACCGACGAATGTTTCCTTCAATCTGTTCCGCGATCGTTTCGTTGATTCAATTCTACCCAATTTCATTTTGATTACAAACAGTATAGTATCTAATACAAATGATCGTATATCATATATATGAATTTAATGAAGGGAAAAACCTGCCAGGGTATTCCGTTGAATTTTATTTACATTTTCCACGTTTGTTACTCGATATACAATTAACTGTACGTAGTTATAAACTCGAAATATCTACCACATTTTTATAGTCAATAAGAATGAATGCTTTATTCAGTTGTTTATGCAGTTGATCCACTTCCTCCAGTTTTGTGTCGCCAAGCTTTCATGTGGATGCACCAACAATGCAACCAAGAACATGGCGGAATCCTATATGTGTATATGTTCATATTCTCTGTACCGAACTCGGGAATTCGAGAAAGAAGACAAATATAAGCCTTTCTTGTTCACTCTTAAAACAGCTAGCATTTGATTTGCAATTGGTATACGATTTGAAGTCTCGACCTCGACCTGTTACCAAACGGCAGACCGATAATACGAGGGAACTGTCCCCCCATTTATATACATATAACCTAGTAAAAAGATCAGTGGTCAATTGAACCACTAACAACTACTGACTATTATTTGATAACCGGTCTTGTCGTTTAGTAGCACTGATTGAGATTCGAAATCGTATCATATTTTATTTGTTTCGAAAGTGAGAAGGAAAAGCTCACATTCATTGTTTTTTCAAATTGCCGAAGCTGTTCGAAGCGCAGGAAGTCATATAAATGTAGCTATATATTAGTGTGCGTAAATGGTGGGGCAGTTTCCTCTGGGCAATAGTTTGCAGTCTGGTAACACTACATGCACCTAGTATTGAGGTAGACCCTATACTCTAAACTTCTACCCTATTCTTCGGGGTAGATTGACTGTATAAACAATGGTCATAATTAATCAAAGTCACGTGACCACAACAGAATTTTATTGGACTAGTAGATAGTAGATTGCTTATGTTAGTCTACATAGGACGGAAAGTAAAACTGTATGGGCAGGCAAATGTGAGCCTTCCTCTCTCGACTCCCACGAGACGGTCCGAAATTACTTCGGGCAGCTTCGGAGAATCGAGAAAGAGGACATGTATCAGTTTGCCTTTGTCGACTCTCCGAAACTCTACGAGCTCACGTACGCGTGATCTAGCATAGCGTGAGAAAGTGGAATGAGGTGCCCCCAGTGCACCCGGGGCTCCGTTTGGCATCTCTGGTTGCAAGTTCTCGCTTGACGAAGTATAATCAGTGTGGATAGAATGTAAAGTCCCTAGTATTTTAGCATAGTTCTTAGGAATTTAATAAATGAATATAAATTTTGTTTTTATCGATGCAGTATTTATTTCCAATGACATAAACAACGTGTAGTATGCAAAAACAATTTATTTTTATTAAAATCTGATTGATTGGTCTTTCACACAGTGACATTCTAGTTGCTATATTCATTAGTATTCGATTTTAATCTCGATATAAATGTACATTTCTATATTGCCATTCCTTTACTGTATAAAGAGGATGAAAGTATGATATTGCGTAAGATTGTATTAAAATTGTTTTAAAATTGAAGAAACACACATTGGTTTAGATACAACTACAAAGTGATGATCAATGAGAGTGTGCAAATATACTTTCTTCAACCCCCTTTTTCTATTGACTTGCCTCTAACCGTTTTATCTCTTTCGAGATTTCTGCTTTTCTCGATAATTTATCAAGTATTTCTTTTTCTGGATTTTTTAACAATCCAGATTTTATTTTCTGTTCCAAAGTTTCGATTTCTCGAATTTTTTTCCTCAGATTTTTTAATCTTTTTTGTGGTTCTAGTATTGCGGTATCAAATTGATTTGTGGCATTTGATTTTGGAATTGGAGTTTGATCGTTTGGTATTGACTTTGTATTAATATGCAGTTTGTTATTGTGTAATAATGGTTCTTTCTTTTGTTCTGGTTCTGAGATATTAATTTTAGCCACCTCTTCTGTTATACGTTCGGTTGTTTTATTTTTATTTTTTTTCTTTTTCTTTTTAACTTCTGTTTTAACTTGTACGCCAGATATAGATTTACTCTTGGCTGCTAGTAGCGCTTCGTGTTTAGCTTTGTGCTCAGTAATGAATTCTGGACTTGCACCTATTGGATATATGGGTTTATTTTTTGTTTGTTTACCTTTGCTTTCATATCTGAAACAACAAATAACAAGAACATTACATATAAGAAAGATAACATTAGCGTAAGTATTTGATAAATTATCACATACAGTGGGACTTCTTCCTGTGGTATATAACCATCTTTAACACGACGTGGCTTACGCCATGTGCCATCTGGGCGTTGACTAGCAGGGATAAACGTTCCACCTATGAAAATGTTTATAAAAAAAAAAAATATATCATAAATCAAAACGTATTAAACATGTAAACATTTCTTTCACATCGATTTCAATGAGTTACATTAAACCGAATATTTATTTTATATGAAAGGATCTGTCAATGTTTAGTCATGATGTAGAAAAAAATAAGTATCGGAATACAGCTTACATTTTTCAGCAATATAAGTTGTTTACATCTTACAGGTTATAAATAGTTCATTCGATGAAGTAACTGAAGTGTTTGAAGGGAGCGAAAAAGGTTATTACCTTGCTCATCTTTAATGTAAGCCGACGCCATCGTTATTCGATACGATCGTTCGCCGTGAATACTTTTAATTATATTTCTTGATAATTCTTACTATCCGCGTGCCATTTTCCGATCGTGAGGACCCCAATCTTTCACGGATGCATCAAACCTTCCAAATTAATAATATATATCTTCTTTTTTATACGATTGAAAGATGTCGCCTCTGCATATTATCTCTTGCAGATTTCTACACTTAAAATGCACTGATAAAGTAACATTCGTAAATACTTCGTGAAAATCATTGAATAATATGGAGTAATATTTGATCAATAAAGAGATTCGTGCACTTCTGATGCAGATGAGGCATAGATATGAACGAAATTTAGAATAGAATAGGAATGGTCGATCTGGAATATGCACTGAACGCACCACTGCACTTCTCACTTTTTTTGAGATTAAGATAGCTGTCGCGTGCAAAGTGCGAACGGCGGACCGATGCCTAGACGAGATGTAGACGCAAACGAGGTATATGAGTAGACCTTACATCCAATGTATTTTTTGGGCCCATTTTTCTGGGGCCCTACAGCCCCATTACCATTTACGTGTCACTCACAATATTACCAACAGGTTACACAAATGAACACAAGAGGAAGTGAGACAGAAACTGAAATTACAGAAACGTTCCTGACCACACATTATATTTTCGGTAATGAATTTTTTTCTCGAAAATGCGTAGGTTTTAGGGGGTATGTGTATTCACCAAAACTGATTGTGACCCCCCGCAACCTAAAATAATTTTTTTAGAACGATTTGAAATTTCTTAATTTCGCCGAAAAATTTAAGCACCCTGTCGATTTTCCTTCAAAATTGATTTTTAGTAATTTTATTTGACGCCCTACAAAAAAGTTGTATAATACTTTCTTGTAGGTACCCATAAGCTCTACTCCAGAAAAAAGTTTCATTGAAATATATTCACTATTGTAGGTGTTATGGTCATTTGAAAATTGTGTTTTTTAATCCGTTTCATAGTCAACTCACATGTATTTACGCACACACTACAGCTGTCTGCCCATCAATACTAATTCAGTGCATAGTTTCTCAACTAACCGCCATCCATAAGAAGAGGCCGCTAAAATCACCTCCGAATTTTCAGGTCGGTATGGCAGTTAGATTGGGCCGTGAAAGTCCATAAAGTGAATGGTCTACTCGTATACCTCGTCTGTGGTTACGTGTACCCGCTCATTCTCTCTAATTAGCCATCGAGAACGGAGAGTAGGTTATGTGTTTGTTTCTTATAATGGCGTTGTTTGTTTGTCGGAGAGAAAGAACCCTTTTGTAGTGAATAGTGTGAATCAAAGTTAGTTGAACGTCGTGACGACTGTTTATAAATTACATTCTTTTTAAGTTACAAAGTTAAGATGTTCGTAAATGAATTAACAGAAGTTAACGTGGTCTTAAAAGTCTTGTCCATGTTATAGCACATGGTCGGTGGGTTTCAGCTTCCGATTGGTTGAATACAGTTGAATGTACACACTGATTGGTAACGACTACAGCGCATGTGCATAGTATGGACAATAATTCTGAGACCAGAATGCATTACGAAATACGTTATACACAAACTCCTCGTTAAAAGTTCGGATTTTAACCTCGATAAGTGTTTCAGTATCATTTTTACCGCAGTTTATGCTTATACAACGCGACTGTATAAATAATGATCCCTTGGCCACTGAGAGATTCAAAATTGGTATTAAATAGTAATGAAAATTAATTACTAATATATCTTCATGAGAGTATTATGAATGGGTTGGTGAAAGTTTCCAATGAAAATAAGTCCAAATAATATTCATATTTGGACGACGTTAAATTGTGCGAGTAATAATCATGTATTTCGTTTTATCAAGTGTTTGAAAGTGAAGTGTTATATGTGTTGAATATCTTAAAGTGTGTCTGAATGTTTATATCTTCGAATTTTCGATAAAAATGGCGTTCCTCCAATGTTTCGCGAATAGTGTACGTTCTGTACAAGCTATTGAAACATCGATCTCAGATTAAATGCACGGAGAGTTCAAGGCTGGTCTCCTGACAATTATCGGTACCATCTAAATCGCTTTACGCCGGCAACCATTGTAGTCACAAGGTCGCGAGACTCTAGCGCCGCCAACAGAAAAACGATCGTCGCTGCGTGTGCGCAAGGTGGATGCGCAGAAGATTATTCGCCGACCCTGTTACACGTTCCAGAATCCAGATTGCGGAGTCGACGCGTGCGTTTTTGCCAAGTGAGTAAATGAAAAGGAATCGGGCAAGCTTTATTCACCAATAACGAACTTGAACGTCGTTTTAAAAAATCCGACGATGGATTCTAGTTCACGAATGAAACCTAAATGAAAGTTAGTTTTCCAATGAATATAACATTGTTATCCGCGAATAAAATTTACACAACATTGATACGGGGACCCGATAAGCCAAGGTTTGTAGGTTGTGTTGCGTCTTGGTGAATAATTTGTGCGTCTACCTTGCGCATAAGTAGCATTCGAGTAGCGATTATATCTCCGTTGGCGGCACTATTGTTCCGTGACCTCGGAATAACTAAAATGATCGATGACGATTGTACGTGGCAGTTAAAAAAGTAGATAAAATTGAAAGTAACGGTAAATTTCCAAAGAAATAATTATAAACACACCTAATGGGCTAACACACACACTAGACATGGACTAGACACACGAATTGCAATACAATGTCGGTCCCATTTTGGATAGGGATTAATATTCAAATAATAGAACATTCCATAAGACAATTAAGAATATATTGATTCGGAGACGCTTTGTTTTATGAAATGAGAATTCAAGAATTAATTGACGGATGAAAAATTGTAAAATATAGAGGAAAATACATTATCGATTAATACAATAATCCTCGATATAACGACGGATTTTTCCCTCGACTTTTATAATCTATAATTTAACGTAGACGAGGTATAAGATAGACACATGCAATGTCTATTCTATAACTCGTCAATGGTTGGTTTTCCCCCAATGAAAATACACACTTATATCGAGGTAAAGATCCGGACTTTTAACGAGAAGTTTTCTGTACACTCTGTTAAAAATACATACAGATGCAAGACTATGGGGTCCATCTGACATACGTTTTGTAGTTTGTGACAGAAGACCAGTTCTTACGAGTCTTCGAAACCGAAACCGCGCGTTGTTGAAGCGTTCGATGTCGTCCTCCAATGGGTCAAGCAGACGCGTCACGCTGTCGCTGAAGCAACGACTGGACGTCATACAGAAACTGAAAACCGGGGTCCCGGATACCGTGTTGGCCAACGAGTACGGCGTGAAGACCGCGACCATTCACCGAATAAAAAGGAACGAAGTTCGAATACGCCATTTGACGCAGTCGATGGCAAAGCAAGGTTTCAAGAGACGGAGGATCCGGAAACCGTTGCAGAACGAACTGGAGGCTCGTTTGTACTCCTGGTTCCTCCAACGACGCGCTTTGGGCGATCGAATTAGCAACTCGTTGCTCCAGAAGAAGGCAAAAGAACTGCACGAGGAGTTTGGCGGGCCGTCTTTGTTCAGAGCCTCTAACGGTTGGGTATGGAACTTCAAAAATCGCTACGACATCCGTTTGTACGACCACCACCATTGCTCAACCACGGAGCCCGACGCGATGACGTCGGGCCAATTCTCTCAAAACTTCTTTCAGCGCCTGATGATGGAGGACATAAAACCTCAGAACGTGTACAACATGGCGGAGACGAGACTGCTGTGGAAGGTTCTTCCCCTGCGTACGGTGTTCCACGCGAGCGAACGTAACGTCTGCGAGAATAAAATAAAGAACGATCGTGTCACCGTCGGACTCTGCGCCAATGCAACCGGCACGCACAAATTACCGCCGCTTTTTATTTACGACTTCGAGAAACCGAGATCCCTGAAGCATTGCTGGACTCGATTGCCGCTCGTGTTCAAGGATCAGAAGAACGCTCGGATGACCACGGACGTGTTCGTCAACTGGCTGAAGAACCACTTCAAACCAGCAGTCAACAAGCACCAGTTCGAGAACGGTAACCGCGACAAGGTGCTGTTGTTGATGGACAATTCCACGGTCCACGCGCTACCAGCAGATTTGCAAATGGAGGACGACAGCGTAGAGGTTATATTTATACCGGAGAAGATGGCGGCGGCTCTGCAACCGATGAGTCAGGGGATCGTTTCCAAGGTGAAGAGGTCTTTCAGGCACAACATGCTGAGGAGGATCAAAGACCTTCCTCGCGGTATTGTGGAATTCTACGCGGACTACGACGTGAAAGACTGCATGGATTTCGTCGACGAAGCTTGGCTAGACGTGGAGCAGGATCAGATACGCAGATCGTGGACGAATCTGATGGGGGACCAAAGAACGGAGGAAGAGGAGGAGGTGCAATCTCAGCTCGCGTTGGATGTGAGAGAAATCAGTGAGACGATGAGAGCAATCGCAGGGGAGCCTGTACCCGAAGAACGGGTTCGGGAATGGCTGTCCTCCTGCGAAGCAGCTGAACTAGATCCAGAAAATGTCTACGACGACGAGGAACAGTCTGAGAAACAAAGAAAAGACCCAGAGTCGGAAGAGACGGATCGGTTCTTCGCGAGTTTAGTTTTCTGGTCTCTGACGCAACCACCTTATGTTCAGATGCAAGTTCAGATGCTGAAAGATTATTACGATCAGGGTTACAAGTAAAGTGGAATGCATAAGAAATTCGATTCCCTAATTTATTCATAACCTCCATTATAGCAAGAAGATGGAGATTTTAATCATTGTAAAACAAGAACTTATAGGGATGAATCCCAACTGTCTATGCTTTTTTAAAGATGATATAGGTTCCTGATGATGCGTGTAAAATATTAAAATTCTGTATCTTTTAATGTATTATAGGTATAATTATTGTGATGTAAAGATGTACAGAGATAGATTGTTGTTTATTACTGACTAGGTTCCACTTTCTCCAAGAAAAACTTGGTCAATCCATATCATACTCTTGTGAAGATATAATGGGAAAATATAGAAACTTTTATTTTCCATTTGATAATTACCTTTCATTTTAAATGATCTTGGAGGTTTTCTTCTTAACAGCTGCTCCAAATAGTCCTCGTTAAATAATATTTTCCTTTACTACTATATTATTTTTTAAATTCCTAAATTAAAAAGTGGCTCGATAGATTTATTTTGATTATTGAAAATTTGTGAAAAAAATGTAAGCACGAACATTAATCTGGGCCAGTATAATAGTGTTTAAATTGCGATGGCGCTATAAAATTAATAACATTGACGATACTTTGGATTTGTACTGTTCTTTGATTTACCGATTCCATACAAAAAAATTGTTAGTATTAATCGAAAAATCTAAACGCTCCAAATTTTTTGTAAGAATTTTATCGAGTAACAAAATCCATCAATGATACGTTTTATCGCGCCGCATCGAATTCATGCGAAGATATGCAGCTCATTGGAATTCTACGTGTGACGTGAACAGGGAACGAAGGACCAAAGTAAGAAAGAGACCATGAAATCAGAAGAGGCAGAAGCATACTTCGCGTCGCAAGGCTTTAAAAGATTCGGATACATAGTCTATAAAATCCATACGACGTAGATGTGTTGTTTCTGGATCGTTGTTGAAGATATTCCATCACGATTTGTAACTTGTACTCGTAATTTGTTGTGTGAACGATCGTGCAAGCGCAATGTATACGCGGCTGAGCAGATGCAATCAGTCTGTGCCTAAAAAGAAACTGCGTCACCAATTTGTCTGTGATAACTTTGCGGTACGCAGGACCGTAGCGAACGGTTTTCAACCAAGGCCTTTCGAGGATGTGCCTGGACCAAAATCTTTACCCATTATCGGAACGCTTTACAAATATCTACCATTAACTGGTAAGAATAATTATTTATACGAAGATGTTTATTATTAATTAAAACGTTTCTTCTTTAATGCAACATTTAAAATTACATAAAATAATTGCGATACAGATTTAATACCATACATTGGGGACATTTTATTATTTGTACCGTTTGATTAATTTGTTTTTAATATACATATACAGTGTGTTCGGCCACCCCTGGGAAAAATTTTAATGGGGGATTCTAGAGGCGAAAATAAGACGAAAATCAAGAATACCAATTTGTTGATGGAGGCTTCATTAAAAAGTTATTAACGTTTGAAGTTCCACCCATACTGAATTTTTTTCTCGAAAATGCGTAGAATTTCGAGAGTATGTCTATTGACCAAAAATGATTGTAATTGATCCCCGCAACTGACAATAATTTTTTTTGGACGATTTGAAACTTTTTTTTTTGTTGTAAAATTTCACACCTTCTCGAATTATTTTCTAGAAAGTGAATAGGATTTCGGAGGTATGTGTATTCATCAAAAATGATTGTAATTCACCCCCGCAACCGAAAATAATTTTTCCAGAACGATTTGAAATTTTTTTTTCGTTGAATTTAGGCACCTAATTAGATTTTCGGTAAGGAATTTTTTTCTCGAAAGTGCGTAGGAATTCGAAGATAATTGTAATGATAAAAAATGATTGTAATTGACCCCCGCGATCGAAAATAATTTTTCCAGGACGATTTGAAATTTTTTAGTTTAATTGTTAATAACTTTTTAACGAAGCCTCAGTCAAGAAATTGATATTTTTGATTTTCGTCTTATTTTGGCCTCTAGAATCTTCCATTAAAGTTTTTTCCCAGGGTTGGCCGAATATAGGATGGCTTCGAAATAAGTCCCACTTTGGTACTTCTCTACTTAAGTATGGAATTAGGTCATATGAACATAGATTCAGAAACTTTCTTTTACGATGTAGTATTTTAGGAATACTTGAAACATGCTTAAAGAAATTTCTATTTGAAAAAATAAGGCCCCTCGAAGGGTACAGACCCCCTCTCTCCCCACTTCTAAAACTTTATTGTATAAGTGTTATTGTGATCCAGTTACGTTTACATTATTATAAATTGGAATGCAGGGGAATATAGTTTTACAAATCTATACGAGAGTGGAGTGAGAAAATTGAAAAGTTTCGGGCCCATAGTGCGCGAAGAAATAGTGCCGCGTGTAAATATTGTGTGGATCTATCGGCCGGAAGATATAGCCGAGATTTTTAAAGCGGAATCTGGTTTGCATCCAGAAAGAAGGAGTCACTTGGCTCTTCTAAAATACCGAAAAGATCGGAAAGACGTGTACAACACTGGAGGCCTATTACCCACGTAATAAAAATAATCAAAGCTATTGGAATTAATTTCTCTAAAAGTCATTTCTAACAAAAAATCAATTCAACGTATTTCGAAGTCATAGACTTAATTTTGTATCTAAAGTAAATGTTGTGATCTAACATGCTTTCGTAAAATTTAGAAATGGACCAGAATGGTGGAGGTTGCGCAAAGAATTTCAAAAAGTTACCAGCAAACCTCAAGATGTGATGAATTATTTAGAAGAAACAAACCATGTTGTGCAGGAATTTGTTGAATTATGCAGCAAAGAAAAGTTTGAGGATTTCCTACCGATTTTATCGCGCTTATACCTCGAACGTAATTGTATATTGTTATTTTAGACAATTTCTGTAAATTTAATAAATGAAACAATAGTAGCCAATTTGAAATTATTTCTATCTCTTATTCGTGTTCGTTGTAAATATGCTGTTTCAGTGACGTGTCTAGTTGTTTTCGATGTAAGGCTCAACAGCTTCTCAAAAAAAGAAAGATGCGAAAATTCCAGAAGTTCAAAATTGATTAAGGCTGCTCTTGCAACGAACAGTGCAATCTTAAAGCTGGATAATGGATTTCAGTTATGGCGGTATTTTGAAACGCCATTATACCGAAAGCTACGTAAAGCTCAAATGTATATGGAAACGTAAGCAAAATCTAAATAAATATTTCTTTAAATATTATTAATAACAATCGAGTATTTACGCTAACAAGGTACAAAAATAGTAAATAATGTTTGTAGTAGAAAAATCGTGTATACCTGAGAGTTTTAATATTAACTATACTTTATACACTTCGTAATAAACAAACTATTTAAATTTATTTTAATGTAGATTTTTCCTATACATTGCAATTTAATATATTTTTAATTGCTACACGTTATGTTTTATGTTTTACCGATGTATTAGAATTGCATTAGAACTGGTATCCCTGAAAAAAGATAAAGAAGCTCGACAAAATAAATCATTTCTAAATGCTTATTTAGAAAATCCTGCTCTGGATATCAAGGACGTTGTGGGCATGGCTTGTGACATGTTACTTGCTGGCATAGACACCGTAAATATCATTTCTCAATATGCAACAGTTACAAGTATTTTTCGCGAACACGATATGGAGAAATAATGCAATTGAATGAAATTTGCAACACATTTTAGACTACCTACAGTACAGCTTTTACATTATATCATCTTGCACGGAATCAAGATATACAGGAAAAATTGAGATCCGAAGCAACGCAATTATTACCTCGTCATGATCAACCAGTGACAGCTGATGTTTTACGAAATGCTATGTACACCAAAGCTGTTATAAAAGAAAGTTTGCGATTAAATCCAATTTCTGTCGGAGTAGGTCGCATTTTGCAAACTGACGTCATTATTAGTGGTTACAAAATACCCAAAGGGGTATGTTTTAAAAAAAAAAACATTATTTATTCAATTTGTATTAACCTAATTACACCAAAAGTCTATATAACGTACATTTCCACTTATACCTTCTAGACCGTGGTTGTGACGCAAAATCAAATTATTTGTCGGCTCCCCGAATATTTTAGTAATCCCGACTCGTTCATACCAGAAAGGTGGCTTCGTGAAAACTCGGAAAATAAAGCAGTCTGTGGAAAATCAGTACATCCGTACGTGTTATTACCCTTTGGACATGGCCCCCGTTCTTGTATAGCCAGACGCTTTGCGGAACAAAATATGCAAGTACTCCTATTACGGGTAAGTTCCTATTTTTCGTAATATCAATTGGAGTTTAACGATTAAAGTTCATAATAATTAGAATTAGCCCCCTGATACAACTTCTAATTATATTTCAAATTACTTAGGTTAAGTTAGGTTATACATACTTATCAAGACATATATTTTATATTGTTCATTTCTCCATACAGATCTCCAGACAGCTAAAATTTTCTTGGCATGGCGGTCAACTTGGAATATTATCTTTGTTGATCAACAAACCTGACGCGCCGCTGAAATTCGAATTCCGTGATATCGGAAAAGCAGATTCTATTTCTTAAACCAGCAACGATGTACAGATGCGAATGATACTTTTTTATAAGGAAATATAATATTAAAAAATAAAGCAGACTTCAATTTATTACGTAATTATAATCAACAATTAATTGTTTTTTTCGATAAACAGCGTTACAATATCAATGCATACAAATAGAATATTCAATGATGTGTTTAATTGTAAGTCATATATTTGGGCGTTGCAGAGAATTTAGCGTAAGATTTAATGACTTTGTTTACGGCTTCTAGAAAGTCTTTTTCCGTCGCTACTTTACGACGCGCGCGAATAGCGAACATGCCCGCCTCGGTGCAAACGGAACGAATTTCGGCTCCGGTACTGTTAGGGCACAAACGCGCGAGAAGTTCGAATCTTATGTCCCTTTCGACACTCATAGAACGCGCGTGAATTTTGAAAATGTGCGTTCGACCTTCCAAGTCGGGTAATCCAAATTCTACTTTCCGGTCTAGACGTCCTGGTCGCATCAACGCTGGATCTAATGTGTCGGGTCTATTTGTTGCCATTAATACTTTGATATTACCCCTCGGATCGAAACTGTAACATTAAGAATCGTGGACATTAATTTTATTTAATTATTTAAAATACGTAATACGAAATCATAATCTAGAAAAAACGATTCTTACCCATCTAATTGATTGATCAGTTCCAACATAGTACGTTGTACTTCGTTATCGCCGCCAGCTCCGTCATCGAAACGAGCTCCTCCGATAGCGTCAATTTCATCGAAGAATATCAAGCATGCTTTTTTACTACGCGCCATTTCGAACAATTCTCTCACCATACGCGCACCCTGTTATTATTTTCAATTTAATATTCATTGTAAAAGCACAAAACATTCGGTTATGTACGTATTAATACGTACCTCGCCGACATACTTCTGCACCAATTCGGAACCAATAACACGTATGAAACACGCGTCCGTCCTATTAGCGACGGCCCTAGCGCACAAAGTTTTCCCTGTGCCTGGTGGGCCGAACAACAATACTCCTTTAGGTGGTTCTATTCCCAGATTAATGAATTTTTCGGGCTGCAATGAATTAATCAAGTTATTTTTCATATATGCAAGAGACTATAACAATAAAGGAAAAATATGATAAAATACTAACATGTAACAGAGGAGTTTCAACAACTTCTCTTAATTTCTCAATTTGTTCTTTACAACCACCAACATCACTGTAGGTCACATCAGGCTTTTCTTCGACTTGCATCATAGTCACAGTTGGATCAATTTTAGGTGGCAGTGGAATATGAATTTGGTACTTATTACGATCTACTCCCACACGCATGCCTTCTTCGATATCAGTTGGAGCAACCGAATCTGCTAAATCAACCACGAATTTAGCAAACTGTTTCACGTTTATAATATATTTTGGATCATCAGAGTCAGCATTGATTATTTTCGTGCACCGAGCAACTTGCAATGGTTGCTCATTTTGTAAAATTTGTTTGTCTGCAGTTAGATCCCAAAGAGCAGGTGGTGCTAAACCAGTGTCAGATTCTTTAATTCCTGTTAATTCGTTGACACGTTTGATTATTGTTTGAATATCCTCCTCGACGGTTTTAATGCTTTTCGTATATTGTCCTTGGCCCTATATAAAGTATTTATATTATTCTTCGTAATATTAGCAAAATTTTGTACTTTCTTTGTCGAAAAATGTATAGAATTTCACCTACATAAGTTTTGAGCAAAGCGATGTCCCCTTCATCCAGAGCTAAAAAATACGATAAATGAGCGATATACTATTCAAAGAAACCAATAATTTATACACATTAACACGTACATTTTATTTCTTTCTCCTCCTTTTCGTCGTCGGCCTTCATCTTACGCATATCAGTTCCCAAGTAATCCGGCATTTTTTAAACGTTTAACGAACTTGTTTCTTTCACTCTTATATGAACAACGAAATAAATCAATTTTGAGGCTATGTTTTCCTTAGATTACGTGCAAAAATGCTGTGAGGTCGAGACTTGCAATCTCGTCCACACTGCAGCTCGTGTAAACTCGCCATAAGGCTGCTCGCGCAGCGCAGCATGGCGCAAGCGCGTCCTTCAGACCAGTCAGTGATGCCAGAAAAGCACCGTCGGGTGCACACTCACACATGCCCTCTTTCTCGATTCTCCGAAGCTGCCCGAAGTAATTTCGGACCGCTTCGTGGAAGTCGAGAGAGAAAGGCTCACATTTGCCTTCTCGCTCTTAACAACTGAAATCCGACCTCCCGTCAACGGCATACGATTTGGATTCTCGAGCCGAGATTCTCGACTGCCCAGGCATTTTTACTTTCCGACCTATGTAGGCGCACATAAGCAAAGTACCCATAATGAAAAAAAGATGTTGTAAAATTTATTTTACGGAAATACACGTTTTAAGACCTCCTGATCATATTTTAATTATTGAAAAAAAAGAAATTTTTTTTTATTACCATGTATGAGCGCACATATGTATATTATTAATACGATTTTTGAAAATCAAAATACCTTAAGATTGAAAATTAATAAATTAAAATGAGATTCCACTCTTTACCAGTATTGTGCACGCTGTGGTATTTTTCAATAAGAAGAGTTCTTACTTTTATAACATAAACAAAACAGTAGAATTAATAATTGCAGAAATTAATTAATAATGATTTTCCTCGATTGTTTTGAGATAACCGTATCAATTTGTTATGACGAACTAAATAGAACTAACTAGAAACAAAGGAAAAGTGATCCCGTTTGCCAGTTTAATACAAAGTATGGGTTGTATCTTAAATTTTAAAAGGACATAGTCGAATATTTTTAAAGGTACAAAACATAGCGTTTCATTGTAGAACAGTAACATAAGTTAGCAGGTAATGTCATAAAACTGTTTTTCCCAGCTATATCCCTTTTTACCTGAAGTATAAGGTAAAAAGTACGAGCTACAAGGTAAGACTATCCGAAAATCGTTCACATTTTATCAATGTAAATGAAGCGGCCTTTCCATCAGAGTTAATACAAAATTTTGTTATTTCTGTGAAAACAGAACTTTCATTAGATGTAGGTGGTGCTTGAAATTGTTATGTTTTCACTGTTTTTACGAAAAGTACCATCCAGATTCATGTACTTCGTACATTGAAAATAACATATGTTAAATGTAATTGGTTAAATTCAACTTTAAAAAAAAAATATTCGAAGGTCAGACAAAAATATAATGTCACATTTAGTGTACGATTAAAATATGATTGAAAAAATAAAAAAAAAGGATTTGTTTTGGCAGGGTTTGAACCTGCAGAGCAGAAGAAGCTCGGAACTTGCAGGCAAATACCTTGTCATTCACGCCACGCGGGTTGTTGAATGTATTTCTATTTCTGAAGATAAGTATCTGTAATAACTTTAATAATATCTCAAAGTAAAACCTAACCCAAAATCGGGTACCATTCCAACTTTTCCTTGTTAGAACCGAGTTTTCAATTTGTCTTAGCGAAAATCGTAATCACATTTTGCACATTATTCTAAAACATTTGTGGTATTCGTTTTCAATGCGATTTAAGTAAGCATGTAATGTATAAGATTTCATTTAATTTTTTCTTTTCTAGAGAAGATAGAGAAAAAGTTTATATAATTTTTTTTATATGTAAGGCGTCGGGAAAAGGCGAGGCCCAAGCCGAGGCCCAAGCCGAGGCGCTGGCAAGGGACCGCGTCTGGCCTTCGTCCGTCAACACTCCCACCCCTACCGATGGGGGAGAAGGCTGACGGCAAAGGCGAGGTTCTAGGCCCAGGACGGGCTCATTTGTTTTTCCGACGCTGAAAGAACGGGAATAAAGCATGTATACGAATACCCTACGTATTTCTTAATTCCTAATTCCATTCTACGCGTCTGCATAACATATATAAAATTTAATTCGTCCTAAGATTTATATGAAACATTTAAAAGATTTTTTATACATTATGCCTATACATATATCGGAACAACTATGAAACAAGAGGTATAATCATTATTATCCATGGACTGATTATAGTCAAAGTCTAACCGGACTTTGAAATGAGAACATAAAACTTAAATGTAAAGTTTCATTTAAATTCATTTAGCTATTTATACTCAATCGTAATAATAATATACATATGTGTGCTCATACATGGTAATAAAAAAAAATTTCTTTTTTTTCAATAATTAAAATATGATCAGGAGGTCTTGAAATGTGTATTTCCGTAAAATAAATTTTACAAAATTTTTTTTTCATTATGGGTACTTTGCTTTTGTGCGCCTACATATGTAGGTCGGAAAGTAAAAATGCCTGGGCAGTCGAGAATCTCGGCTCGAGAATCCAAATACTATGCCGTTGACTGGAGGTCGGATTTCAGTTGTTAAGAGCGAGAAGGCAAATGTGAGCCTTTCTCTCTCGACTCCCACGAAGCGGTCCGAAATTACTTCGGGCAGCTTCGGAGAATCGAGAAAGAGGGCATGCGTCAGTTTGCCTTTGTCGTCTTTCCGAAACTCCACGAGCTCACGTAAGTACGCGTATCTAGCATGTGTGAGTGTGCACCCGACGGTGCTTTTCTGGCATCACTGCTTCAGACTCTTTCCTGCGTTTTCGCGGCACTTGCTGGAAAAGACTCTTTGTTATTATTGTTAAACGGAGTATAAGAATTCATTTCACCCTATCACAAAATAAGTAGGATTGGGCCTACTAGACACGCAACACAATTCGTGGCGGAACTTGACCACGTGTTGTAGTTAGAGACGAAACTCCCTCAATGCAACTACTTTCACTGACATCTGTGTAGAATCATGAACTGTTCCTCACCAGGAATTTTATGACTATGTATAGTTTCCTCTCTTAACCTAAAAGATAGGGTTGATGTAAATAGTCTGCCTCGAGTGTTCAAAATTCTATTGGTCTTTCGTGTTGAGTTTCAAATTGCAATTTTCAAGCCATATAATTGATTTTTCTATGTTTGGATATAACTCGAATATATCAATGATTAAAATGACTCGATTATCGTAATCCTTAATCGAATAGTCTTACAAGGAAAGGTTGCGTCTGTGGAATCCCCGAATTTACTTTTTCTGGTAATTCTAGAGCAAAATAAAATTAAACAAGCAATTTAATTTTATCAGTATTTACTCGATGTCCTTTCGAAATGCAATTACACGTAATTAAAGTACAATCAGATAAGAATATAACTGTTCAATCGAATAAATGTTGTGAATGAAGCGTTACACGTTTTATTAGCTATCTATTATGCAAATCGAACGAAAGGTTGTAACAGTAGCCATTTTATCTTGTATGCTTATGAAAGAATATTAAGAACGTTTAATAGCAGGAAGCGTCGTTGAAGCAACGCTATGATTTACGCGTTTCAAAATTATTACTGCGAGAACGTAAAGCACATTACACGAAAGAGCAAATACACTTAATTCGGACAGTGATTGAATTAAAGACTCGTTTCTCTGTAATATAATTTTAAAATATAAACGAACGACTTTCGATTATTATTTTACTCAAAATTATGTACCCTACATAACGATATTTCGTTCTTTTTTCAGAAAATGGGCTATTGCACGTTCAAAATACAATTCGACCGGGCTGCAGGTAACTTTGCCACGCCACGGTTAATCGTACGAGTGAATGAACCTTTCAAAGGAAGTGTAGAGACTGCCTAAATTGCACTCCTCGTGTTAGTCCTTGACCAAGATGATCTGCAGAAAAATGTAAGATAATGAAAGATCCAATAGTACACTTTCACTTGTATTCATCCCGTCCCATCCCTGTTCGTTTTACCGCGATTCTTACGTGCAACCAGAGGCGTGGTGCAACTGAAGTTCAACCAGCACGTTCCACCATACTATTAAGGTAAGAGTTTGTAAGTTACCTTATCATTCACTCCGTATACCATTGTGGCCTATATACTGCTCGCCACTAAATACATGTACGGAGGAGCATCGTTGAGAAGAAAATGGCATTCTGCGCGTGTTTCAATAGCTCTTTGTGGAATAAAAACTTGAGTCATAAGTATAATTCCCGATCGGTGTGAAATTACGTACCGTTTAGGTATCTCCTATTGGCATTTAAATAGGTAATACTAATTTTTACTGTGCGTTTTAAACGACTCTTAAAACGCCATTGACTACTGGGTGAGGCCAGGCATTAACGACTAAATCCCAGTATTTACTGTAAAATCTTATTGTTTGCGTATAACGTTATAATTTCGTAATGGATATTTTTATTATACGCACTGGAACTATAATTATTGCGTATTACTAATTATGGTCTATTAGTGTTGTGTTTTCACGAACGTCTGCCGTAACCTTTTCATTTCTCCTGCAGCCGTATATTTAGAATTATTGAATGAAATGTTAATATTTATAAATGTTGAATAACATGATGTAATTATTGTCATTTATATTTGTGTTATGTATCAGTTTAGTAATAATCAGTCGAGAATACAAGATGGGGTTATTTATCATTTTTAATGGTAAAATAGTTCAGATCGAAGAGAGTAGTTATATAAAAGTAACAAAAAAGAATAAGAATTTTAAACAATGAAATCTGATCGATACTTGAAAAGGTCTAACAGTTCCACGATGTAATATTGAAGATTGTACCCGCAATAATTTATGTAAAACAGTACCTTCAGAATAAGTGAAACTTCGAAAGGTCAAAATAAGAATTCCATGTATTGAAAATCGTGCCCATTGTAATCGATGTAAAACAGTACGTTTGGGCTAAATTTAAAAACAGTAATGGTGTAATTAGCTACAATAGCAGAAGCACAAGAACTATTTAATTAAAATGCTAGCCGTTTGTCGACTTCCATTGTTATTCATTCTTCGATAAATTCTGTAGAGTCTCCCTATTCAGGAATAGTTCATCCAATGCATTTTAATTCTGAATCATTCCGTAAACGAACGATATTCAATTCAAGTATATAATGTTATGCAAGTTTCAACACGGGCATAACACCTCAAGCATTTCTAAACCTAAGGATAATAGTGCATTCAAACTTGGAGAATGTCAAAAATAGGATTTTCTCGATTCGTAGAATGTAAAAAAGGTATTATCGAGGTAGCACTTGGAGGTTAAGAAAAACTTTAAGAGAGACTTTTGGTTATGGTTGGTTTCGAAGAAGAAAAATCTTTGGGGAATAGTGGAGGAAAGCATGTTATCGATTAATTTTATCTTCTATATTTTATTTAATTCGTTTTATAATGTGTGAAAAAACAACTTGTACGGTAATGTCAGGCTGTCTCAGACTCTCAGCCCGAACTGTCATTCGGTGAACATGTAGTGGAAATTAGAACACTTATAAAGGTTTTACGAGAGGTTATGTTAAAGAGATGTGAATAGATAAAAGATAAAATGTGTAAACAAATAGGAGAATTTATTCGTATTATCGTATAATGACTGTTACATAGTGGAAATTTACGTCTCTCTGTTATTTCACGGTGTATGTACAAACATCATGTCGGTTTACAAGGCAATAACGAATCAATTCAAGTCTCGAATTGTTTGCAATCATTTGGTCAGTAGATTTCGCCTAATATCTTCGGTAGGGGTTCGAGTTGTAGGGTTGTCTGTAGTCTGAATCGTCGGGTCCGGGAGGATTGGCAGCGAGGGCTCGTCTGATGGCTTCTGGAATTGGTGGCGGGGTTGGCAAGTGTGCACCTTGAGGATGAAAGCCATTTTCGTCGGCAGTGTACTCCACAGTGATAGGAGTGCCATCTGGCGCGTTATACGAGAATCTGCCTTGGACAACCTGGAAAGAGATACATGCAATTTTGAACGATTTCTAACTGTTTAAAGTTGTCCTTTTTCTGGATAAATATACTTAAAAATACGTCGTTTATTTTTGGTAGTTTTTCCAATGCCTGCAATAGGTAGTCTAGGTGGATAATTATATAAATTAGATGCATACTTGGTTAAATACATTTACATTCCAAGTTTAACTCGAATTGGCTGACAATAGGAACATAGTATAAGCTAGAGGATTTCTCTTAACCAATATACGATATTGATGTGCACTGTCGCAAACTTGAAGCTTAAAATATCGTATGTGCGAATCGATAAAAATAATTTGTAAGGTTTAAATTACATGATCCAGCAAAATTTGTCGATCTATATTTTTTTAAGTGGTCGAGGATTTTAATTAATATTTAAATTTACCTCGCTCTGGCCCTGTCCAGTGCCTTGAGGACGGCCGCTCTCAGCGACGGAAATTCCATTCTCGGTGTCGTAGCTAAAAGTGTAAGTTCCATCCGGATAAGTGTCTTTCTGTTGGCTGCGGATGGCTATAAACCTTCCGGGTGAACTGGAAGAAAAAATTGCGTGTCGTTATTCGATCAGGTAGGTGAAAATCGTCTCTGAACCAATTCTGAATGTAATTACGTACTTGTACTGTGGGGAGTACTGAGGCTGCAATGGCTGCTGGTAATTCGGCGCTGGCGTAGGTCTGTATGCGTTCTGATTCGGGAAACCCCGGTACGATCCGAATTGCCCCGCGGCGCAGCAGAACAACGCGAAGACGAAGAACTGCAATCATACAAATCCAGAATTTTTTTACACGATGGTATTAAAAAAAATTTTACAAATTTTTCCAAATTATCCGTAACGATAAAAATAATGCGTTTTAATATGTTTTGATATAGTTTACGAGTTATCCAGCCAGTGTAAAATATTTAGAAGTGAAGTTTCGAGAATAACAAGATGGAGGCCAAGAGCTTTCGCCAAAGTATAGAAGATGGGGCAATACTGGCGAACGAGGAGCTCCTTGCCAATCGATTAAAATGTTAATAGATCTGATTCTGATAGTTCTTATATCAAGATTCACTTATGTTTCACGTCACTTCTTCGAGCGTGTATAGCGATCACTCACTAAATGTTGCATGATGACCGTTTCTATGTCGTGATGTCGATTTGAGGAAGACCGAATCTGCAATACCATGTGCAAGTAGTGCCAGCATTTATATGAAGACGCGCAGGAAGATTTTCCCTTCCCGTTCTCCTTGTTCATGCATTTAGCCACTCTCTTCGGAACATCTAGTCGCCCTCGTATCATTGCCCCACCTCAACCCTATTCGCGGGGACCTTAGATTCTAACATTAATGTTACCGCGGGTACACACGTATCGTTCAACGACAAACATCAGTCAGTAGCAATCTGTTTTGTCGCGTATCGTATTTGTCGTATATCGTTGGCTATTTATTTATTGATCGTTCTTTTAAATTTTAGCGAAATTATTCTTGGGTCATTTAATAATTTTTTTTTTTAATGCAGTCTATCTTAAACTGATTTCTTTTTATCAAACTTAGATATTCGTGTAACTTGTTGAATTATCTTTCTCGTTTAATATTTCTATTTTTGACTTCGTTACAATATGTCTACTTTCACATTTCTTGAAACAAAACTAGTCTCGGCTCGATTCTTTGATAGATTTCAGTTTTTACTTTTGAATTGAAACGTTCGAGCATTTTTATGACATGGCTCGTTAAATTGTCAGGGAATTTCTTTTCAGACGGAATGCTTCATTTTTGTAGTCCCTAATCAAACGGTGGTTGCTGAAACCAGTTCAAGAGGTTACAACCAAAGGTCATTCCAGACCGTAAAAGGTTGTAAACTTACTTTCTAGCGAATCTCTGTAAGGTTCTAAATTTGTTTTCTTTAAATATATCTTTAAAATGTTTAATTCCAGGCAATTAGGTGGCAAGCATCGGATGTAATAAAATATAATATTTGGTAATTTTATTTAATGAAATTCTTTACACCGATCATTAACAAAAACCAACTAAAAGTAGATGACTAACGAGAATTTATGTGACTTTTCTATTCAAGATAACGATTGATGTAAACTTAACATTATCAGGTTCGAGCAATGAGTACCTAATGATGTCAGTCAATTCGCATACGAACGATTATTGTTGTGACATGGGTTGAAAAGTGCAGAAACTACCGTGGGGAAGAGGAAAAGTTATATCAATGCGTGTAATCGTGCCATTCGAAAAGTTGTCGATTTATTAACATATCGCTGAAACTCAAACAGTACGAGCATATGATTATTATTTAAATTTTAATTTCTTCGAGGAACTGTTTTATTCCCTAACAAACGTTGAACAACGTAGGGGTGGGATTCTCGAACTTTTATATCCGCGCAATAAATTTATTTAAACAGTTATATAATTTTCTCTTTACGTACACATGTTTGTATTATTATATTTTTGGCAGTACGTTTTATGTAAAAATTAAACACGAACGATGGAAATTATTTCTGCGGATGGTAACGTTAATTTATTATTATACGTTGTCGTAGGAGACGTTGGCCGGAGGATCGAGACGATTTTTTCATAAAAACTGAAAACCAGCAACGTCTCGTTTTTCCTGGAGATCCAGAGAAGGTCAGATCACCGAGATCCACAGCGACGTTGGCGGACGCAATTCGGAAGGCAATGTTCAACCGGATTCAGAACTCTGTGCAACCGATCAGTTTGCATAATTTCTAGGTTCGTTGCTCATCTGGGAGGATCCCGAAGGTATGCGCTCTATCCGTTTCTTTATGAGAGTCGAAGCGTTGCTGAGATGATGGGGCATACTTGAGCTGACGTGGTTAATAAAACGAGAAAGGTCAAACTAGATCCAAGCAACGCTTGCAATCTGCCCCGCCACATCGTAAGATCTGGAATCATCTCGGGTTAAGCTTTCACGAAAAATTTTGTGGACGAGTCAGTTTTTTTTTTTTTCAAAACTTGCTAGACCGGGTTTCGAAACCAGCCTTATGTAATCGAGACGTCGTAAAATTCCATTCAGCCCTGAGCAAGAACAACGAAGGATAGACATTGTCCAATTTCGTTTAAATAATAGAAATTTTAATATACGAATTGTGGTATTCGAAGTCTTGGCGTCGAGGAAATTCGGTAATTGTAATTTGGTGAAATGATTCTTAGTTTTTTAAAATGCTAGGGAATCGAAAACTATTTTTAAAATATCTGCGAAATAGGAAGAAATTAATTAATATATCTGTAATGTAGAATTTAGGACAGAAATTTTAACCAAGTTCTTTGTTGCCATCGATCACAGAGGATTTTGTTATTGTTTTAATGTGAAATATAAAAATTGCAAGAACGAGCAAAAGTGACAAACTGTGACAAACAATAACAGGCATTGTTACGTGTTTGACACGTTAGAGCGCAAGAATAGTAGACGGTATTTATCTAATCGGATTATCTGAGCGGTGTGTGTTACCTAATCTGGCCGTCGTTTGTAATTGAGCATGAAATTGTGTAAATACCGAATGATGCAGCAAACTACTCTCGTAGAATCTCCGTTGATCTTTCGTGAATTGTATAGTATATTGTTTTGGAATATAAATCAAATTCCATAAAAACGTTTCACCTTCTCAACGACGAATTATTTTATTTCGCCTAAATATTCAAACTGATCACGACATCCAGCAATTTCGTTAAGACGTTGATAAATTCCAATATCTAAAATAATTCAAATATTTTTTTTTATTTATAGTTCACCACTAACGGGGATCTCAGTTTGAGAAACACTGCTTAAAGGAATGTTCGACTAAATGTAATATGGATACTCGAGATATAATAATTTTACGAGGCTAGATAAAATGTACGAAGCCGATTCGAATTGTTCTTTACCTTTTTTTTTTTGTTTGAAGCTTCGTCTTCAGGATGCGAGTATTTGTTTAAAAAATGGACCGTCGAGCGCTGTCATAATCTTGGGCAAGGGTGTGGCGACACAAATACGCACTCACCGCGAGAAACACGCGTAGGTAAAGAGCGTATTCTATAGCTCGACGCTTAGAAAAGATCCCCGAGGGTGGTGACCCAAGCGTGGTTGCGCCAGTGGTGGGGATGAGCCAAATCGATGAGTCGCGTAGCTATCGGGTGACATCCGATACCGTTTAACCGTTTCCAAATTAGTAAAAAGTTACAGGAAATAATATCTATAGATTAAAATTAATTTTCACCCCTTTTTAGTAACTTTAATTCTTACTTATAAATAGCCAAACTTTATGCATTAAAGTCTCCATTAGCATCTATGTAATTCTGTAACTAATTCCCCCTCTAACAAAAGCCAATTGTTTCTTTTAAAACTTACAAAAATAAAACAGTGTATTTGCAGTCTCCTATTTATATAATTGAAATTAAAACTAATTACATAATTTAAGAATGTAACGAAAAGTTGCAACAGTTAAATCTTCTACGCAAGAGTGAGCATCGAAACGTGACGATTATTAATGCAAATTCGCGGTATTGATCGACTTTCACAAGATGCTTCACTGATTGCGCCACGATTGTCCCTATTATTTCGCCAGTGAAGTTTTACAGATCATCCCCTACGAAATTGTAGTTTTATAATATTTTTTAACAATTGATATCACTTACAAGGGACTGGGGAAAAAATTGGACGATGAAAAATTTCAAGTTAAACATTTTTCTAGGACTCTTGATATTCTCAACTCGAACAACGAGCATCGTTTTATTAGTGATTTTTTTCTCATACAGATTTTTAGGGATTATTTTTGGACTCTGTTTAGGTTAGGGTAAAAAGGTAGTCCGCATTATCATAGAATGGACAAACGTAGCTGGTAGAGGACCCTCTCCTAAGCGCCCGTTATGGGAGGTGCGCATAAAATTATTATGCCATCGTCTGCTGAATGGCGTGGATCATAGCGTTAAGCACTAGCATTGTTACTTCATAGCAGTTCGTGCGACTCGACGCGTAGAGGTTAGCCGCGTCTAGGTTAGATGCTTCAGAAGGTTAACCTCCCAGGCCATGGTGGTCTCTGGAGACAAGCAATTTGTGACCAAAATTCAATTTTTCAACCATCGTGTTTAAACAAACTGACCTAGTTGCTTCAATTCAAAACTGACCCTTTGAAATCGCAATTTTTAATTTTGGATTTTTCAACAAATTTTATTAAATTTTCCAGGAAAGAAAACATTGAAATTCGAAAACTTAAATAGGAAAAGTATACATCAACGATCGTTCGAAATTGGGCTATCGGTCGTAATGGAAAATTAAATTGCTACAACATAATACTGTTTGATAGAGCAAAGGTAATAGCCCAAAACCAAAGGTTACTTTCCCAGGAAATACAAGAGTGTAACTGGAAATATCGAAGCATATGATAATATTGATTTAAATTAAAAAGCCACCCTTTGAATTCCATTGAAACACCCTCCTCTCAGTTTTTTAATTATTCAATGAGCTAAAACATTTCTAATTGGGGACCATCGAAGCAACCAACGATTCATAACTACGATATCAATATTTTTGTGTCGTTTAACTCCCAAAAAGTCGTAGTTTTGTAATGAATTTTGAGCAGAAAATTTTTTTAATAGAATTCTTGAAATAAATTACTGTAAACGCGTGTCACAGAGTTTCCAAACAGTTTTCAGTCGTTTTTAATTTTGGCCACAAAGTAGTTTCCGGGCCACTGCGCAGAGCGAATTCGTGCACTCGCATTTTCCAACAAAATCTCGTTTTTTCGTTTTCTTTCCTCCCTTTGCCTTAGTTTTAATTTTCCTGATAGCCGGTTCAACTTTTGCCTCTATTTACGAAACGAGCCCTTACAAAATAATTCGGATAGAAAGTTGTTCCAAACTGGGGGAATATTAGTCGTTCGAAGTCGAACGGAGATTCTCGAAAAAAAACGAAGATATTTCTACGAGTGCCTTTCATATACAAATTATGAAATGTAAATTGTAGTCGGATGACCACTCCCATTGTACCCTTCTTTTCTTGCTTCTTATGACGAACGCTGAAAGGAATTCGTCTTGTCAGATTCGATCTCATCGATCCATTAATCTCTAGGATCGCTCCCCAGTCAACTATTCTGGTAACAAAGTATTCGACGTGATAAAAATTAATTTAGGAATAGAAACTACTAAAACATTCTACGTTCATATTTTATCTTCACTATTGCAAGTATACTTTAGTACGATATATTCCTAAAAGTCGAAGTAATAAAACTCCAGGAAACATCAGAATTTCATCGTTTTAATTTAAGGCAATATACATATACAGGTTGCTTGGACATCTCGGGGAAAAATTTTAATGGGAGATTCTAGTGGTCAAAATAAGACGAAAATCAAAAACATCAATTTCTTGATTGAGATTCCTTTAAAAAGTTATTAAAAAATTTCAAATCATTCTGTAAAAATTATTTTCGATTTCTGGGGTCAATTACAATCATTTTTTATGAATAGACATACTCCCGAAATCCTACGCACTAACGAGAAAAAAATTCGAGTAAATGTGAAATTTTTCGGCGAAAAAAAAATTTCAAATCGTTCTGAAAAAATGATTTTTAGTTGCGAGAGTTAATTACAATTACTTTTGGTCAATACAGATACCCTCGAATTCCTAACTATTTCCGAGAAAAAAATTCCTTACCGAAAATATAATTTCAGGCCAGAAATGTCACTCCAAAATATCGTGCGTATCATCAAAACGTCATAATTTCTGAACGGATTGGAGGATTTTAATGTTTCAAGCGGCAAACAACGCATATTTTAGCGGAGAATACGTAAAAATTCTAATAATATTGAAAAAGTTGTTCCTTGACCCCGTAAAGTGAGAAAAACCACATAAAAATGGTTCAATTTTCGAACAGCCATAACTCCTACAATAGTGAATATATTTCAATGAAACTTTTTTCTGAAGTAGAGCTCATGGGTACCTACAAAAAAGTATTAGACAACTTTTCTATAGGGCGTTAAACAAAATTACTAAAAATCAAAAACGAATTTTAAAGAAAAATCGACAGGCGAAAACAAAATTTCGAATCGTTCTAAAAAAATTATTTCTAAGCTCTGGGGTTAAATACACCCATTTTTGGTGAATACACATACCTCCGAAATCCTACGCACTTTCGAGAAAAAAATTCTTTACTGAAAATACAATATAATATGTTTTCCCAGGTGTGGCCAAACACCCTACACATTTTGTAGCAAACGATCGTACGTTTCACGTATTTTCTGCTGTTTTACGTCACTTGAAAATAATTAATATTAGCGTATATAGCGCTTGTGCCCAGTCTTCGTGCGTTTCGACTGTACGAAGAAGCTCGAAATTGAAACGTCTCTGTTACGGATCGAAATACTTGCTGCAATATAGACTCGTATATCAAGTAGTTGTTATGTAGTGACAAATTTTAGTTATGAATTATAAGGTCGACAAGACGGTGCGTGGGATGCGTTGAAATCCTTTTACCTGCCTTCGTGCGGTCGGTCGATGGGTCGGTCGTTGTGCAATGGACAAGAAACCGATGATTTGCTTTCACTGACTCACCTTTAGCGTGATATTACGATTACCATTAGCATTAATCCGATTGGCACTTGGGTTATTCTCCCTAAAATCTCACACCTATTAAAATCACATAACTTGGTACCATTTAACGAACATTTCTACGTTCACTTTTGCGTCGACAATGGCACCTCGTGCCCCTCCCCTTCGGGAGGATTTTCGATTAAATTTGTCGGAGTGAATTGTCACGCCACGGTGGATACTTCGATGCACAGTTTTCGTAGACGATTAACATTGGGAAACACAACAGTCTCGGTGGCTAATTGTTTTGTAATAGTGCTGCAACGATTTATCATACAATGAGTCGACACAACGAGGTGCAACGATAATTGTACTTGCTCGCTGTACGCCGTTTTCCCACAGAAACATAATGAAAAACAGTATTGACCATAAGTACACTCCGTGACAAAAATTATAACAACCCTGTATTTCGTGCATTTCGTAAAATTTAAGTATAGACAAAATTCAGAATTAAATGTACACTGTGTATCAGAGGGATTTGATAGTTTGTTTTTTTATTTATATATATATTCTAACGTTCTTTTGGTGCACATTTTTTTTATAAATTATTGTTACACTTTCCTTCGTTTCTTCCTCCAGTACAGACGCCATTTTATTTATCGATGTGATTTGAAGTTTTCGTTAAATTTTCTGAAAGATCCATTTACGTTGTGATAATTTCGAAAAATAGGAAAAATTCGAGCGTCTACCAAGATTTTGACGCGGAGTGTAGTCGTTCTTACGGTTCAACACTTCTGTTTCACACCTGAGATTGTACAAGAGAATCTTTCCTAAGTGGCCGTTGAACGGCCACACACGTTCCAAGCTGTCGTTCATCAAACTTGCACTACACCGGGTTTTATGGCAGAGTTACACTCCTATCCAACAGGATCGCGCCGCATGACAGGTTGTACTACCCCACACACTTCATAATTATGGTTCAAACAGCTACATAAACCATGGTTGTATAATACAAACTTTCACAAAGCAAGAGATCAGACGGTCACCGTGAGGGTCTGCTTGTCGAAATTTTTTCGTATTGTTCGATCGATGTCACAAACGCGCGATAAATGCAATTCGAGCACTTAAATTACTATTAATATTTGGAAAGCATTCCCATAATTTTTCCTCGAAAAAAAAGTTTCCTCCATCTTAGGGGGTCCACGTTGCATTCGATAGCTGGAATTAATATTAATCGATGTTTGAATTGTTTAAACAAAAATGTGTTCAAACGAAGAATATCAAATAAATAATTATTTGTAATAAACTTTGCATCGTCAATAAATTGTTATTTTATAAACTAAAAATACAGCATTTTTGTTATGATATTCGTATGAATATATATTTATACACACATATTATACATTTTAGTAACATAGGCATAATATAACGTACTGTAACACAGAAACATTCTCGTATCTGTGTACCTAAACCAAACATCTTATTTTCTTCGTATCCCCACTCTCGTCTTATCTTTCTATGCGTTTGTCTTTAATTTTAAAGTAAATAGAAGTATCAACTTTGCTTTCCATAGTTATGGGGAAAGTAAACGTACTAATTGATTAGAAGATGATTCAAGAACACATAACATAAATCTAGCACGGTCGATAAAGTAGAGGCTTCGCGTTAGAATCAGTGAAGCAAAGCGCTAGTCTTTCTGGCAGGATTTCGAGATTGGTCCAGTCATTGGTTAATAAATTAACTGACAGTACAACATAGAAAAAATTAATTTAACTATCGATTTCTTTGTATCAATCCGAAGACTGTTTTATCTACCGTTCGTTACACAGTTTGGCCATCATTCAAAGCGCAAACTATAGTTTCGCTGCATCGTTTTAAAAATTCCCTAAATATTCATTACAACAATAACGAAGTATTTCTTGATATTAATTTAATTTCAACATTTTCTGAATACATAAAATCACTTCTATACTCGACACGTTAAAAAAACAAACGAACAATAGAAATTTATTTGTATTAAAAGTACACCATGTCTGTTTCCGGTCCCTTATTATTCTTTTCTTCTTGCAACTAAGTACAAAAGTCATTTTACGAAACAACGGGTTACTCGACATACTATTTCGAAGATTATTATTTAAAACATCATGTTCCCGTTTAAAAAATTGTTTCGTTCGTCTATGTTGTACTGTCTAAGTCTGTCTCGGTGTAAGCATAATCGAGACACAAACGACGTCTGTTAGTATCTTCTGTAGGGTTCTTCCTCCTCGGGATGGGCTGCATTATGGGCCAAGGCACGCTGTATCGCTACTGGTATTGGCGGTGGCGTCGGTAGATGGGCCCCGTTCGCTTGGAAGCCATTTTCGTCGGCGGTGTAAGTCACCAAAATCGGTGTACCGTCCGGTGCAGTGTAACTAAATTGTCCCCTCACGGATTCGATCTGATTTGGTGCAGCAAACTTCGGCACTCCTTGCTCCGCCACGGATATCCCATTTTCCGTGTCGTAACTGAAAAGGACAGAACAATTTAAAAACACTGATCGTCGCACAACCTCAACGGTGTCACATAACCTCAATCAGTCACATTTTTCTAAAGTCCAAGGTAAAATATATAATAAATATATTTTTTCAATACTCTATATTATTAAAACTGTTACTCGTCAGCATCAAAGTTCTTGTTTAAATAAAAAATTAAATTAGAATCGAAATATTTAAAACGAGTCGAAGGAAACTTTTGAATAAAACATTCCTCGTCGATTATTATTCGAGTTTGCTCGTGTTAGTGGCATAGGTGCAAGAGATCCCATTGTTGTAACGTGCAACGAGAAGCTGGCAACATATTAATAATATGTTATCCGAGCGAGTCACAGCGATGCATATTACATTTCATTGTCGTATCTCGCGCGGAATAAGGTCATCGTTTAGTCGCCCACAACGACTTCATAAGAGTAATTTATTATTGTGGAAAATGGCAGGCCGTTTTGTACGTGAAAAATCGTCGATCATTCGTCGAAAGCGCCACCATCGAGGTGGAGCATGCCCGATTTGTTAAACGACAAATGTCATAGGAGGGGCTCTAGCCACCCGACCTCAAAGTGCAGTAGACAGTACGTAGGTAGGTAGGTAGGTCGATTGTAATTATTCTATTGTGCAATGTGTTATTGCTAACTGCGTAGCCGTCTAACACGAATGATTAACATCAAAGCTAATTAGATATCTTTTCACAGCTGAGTATCCTGTAGAACCACCTCCTCTTCCTCTTATTCCGTTCCTCTCTCGCTCCCTCCTTCGTGCACCTCGCGTGGTCATCGGTTCTAAACTGGTGCTTAACCAATCGTCCATTTTTATCGACTCGAAATCTTCTTCGTTGTTCTCAAATAATTTTCATTGGATGCTACATTGTACGAAACGAGTGGTTCTCAAGTTCTTTGGGGTCCTCCCTCCCCTTCAGAAAAATAGAAAATTTCTGTGTCCGGGTTCGGGGATGATTTTTAAACAAAAATTTATTTTAAATTTTTAGTATTCGAGGTTTAGATTGTTTCGGTGTTAGTGGACCTATAAAAAGTTTTGTTCAATAGTGAACCTTAAGTATAGTTAAATTTTTTTTTGTCTCTACGGTGTTTCAGTTAATCTTGATGGAAATGGTGTGTAATTACGTGACCTTCGAACGACCTTGACCATTTTTCGTGCCCAAGGTCACTCGTGGATCGCGTTGTTACGCGTCGTTGCATCCGCCTTGACATCGGTTGCAACGCTGCAGCGATAGAAATGTGTGTCATATAAAAAAGTGTAACTGTGAGAATGTACAGGGTGTTAAAAAGGTGTGCAGAGACGTTAGCAAAACTCCACCCAGTCCCCCACCTTTGATTAGCCACCGTTTGACGTCAAAATAGGTCTGAGACGATCACTACACCTTTGCAGCTCTGCACAGTAGCCAAACAATAATAAACAATTCGAAATCGACCCTAGTCCCATCAACCCTTTCATAAAATAAATTCTACTTTTTCAAAATTCTTTTCAGACTCTTTTGCAACACGTTAAATGTAAATTATTTGACAACGAAGATTATCGTTAATATCAAGACCCACCAGATGAGATACGAAAGAATCAAATTCGCATAAATCTTGACGAAGTATTTAAAATAGATTGATAGCGAGAATACAGCGATTGGAATATTCTTCAATGAATGCACGACGGGTAAAAAAAAAGTGTTTAACAATATGCTAACGTGTACGTTATTTATGACGAAGCATAAGAAAATTTCTAAACTTCTCGATAGTGTTAGCAGACTCTATTGAAAATGGTAAACAGGTTCACGAACCGAACGACCATCAAGGAGACAAAGAACCATGGTCGATATTGACGATTATCGAAGACTGTTGAATAAATAATTAAATAAATATAACCGTGAGAATCTGTCTTCGAGTCGATTTTGAAAATTCAATTGATTGAGTATGATTTGGGTAACGTGTCTGTCCATTGCTCGCTATTTCTACTTGTTTTCGTGTCTGTAAACATCGGTATTAACAGCACTATTTCAACTGCTCGATTTTAACTAATTCGAAGACATTACGATTACGAATAATTAAATAAAAATTTCGACATTTCGTAAGATTTTAACAATTATTAAGCATCTCATAGTATTTAAACTATATTTTAATTTGAAATATTCATCCCGAAGATCTGCAAAATGATTGACGTTTCCGTGAATGATAAATTTGAAAAATTAACACCAATGCACTACTTAAACGTATATTTATATATTAAATACTTTTCAAATAAATGCAACGACTGCATAAGGCAGACCGAGGTGCAGTAGAAAGTGTCAAATATCGGTCAGCCGTACAGGGGAACCCGTCCTTAATTCGTTTCTTATTCACGCTTCGGCAAATACTAAATAATTAGATTTGACAAAAACACTGCATTTTCGCCAAAAACTTGAGAAATATAAATAACAAACATCGGTCAAAAAACAATTTCAAAGTCCTACTTTCAATTTCAAATTAGAACATTGTCAATACATGGTACCTATTTTGCAATAAGAGATATATAAACAAAGAAAAATTAATAAAAAGTGCTAATACGTCTGCAAAGTTGAACACGTGCAATTAAAAATAGTGACTGACCAGAACAGATGTGAAATAATTTTGTCGTGTGGGAGAAAGGAAACTTATTTTTCCTGAACATTTGCGTTTCTTATTCAAAATGGCGGACCTCAAGGCGCGTCAGAGACCGAAAATTTGACAATATTATCTCGTAAATAAATAATCGATAATAGAATAGATGGAAAGGTGACGTGCAAATAAAAATAGTGACTGAACAGAACAGATGTGAAATAATTTTGTCGTGTGGGAGAAAGGAAACTTATTTTTCCTGAACATTTGCGTTTCTTATTCAAAATGGCGGACCTCAAGGCGCTTTAGAGACCGAAAATTTGACAATATCATCTCGCAAAGTAGTCGATAACAGGATAGATGGAAAGGTGACGTGCACGTACGGTTGGCGTGTGGTTTTTAGTACCGAGAATAAACGAGATACTTCGAGCGTGTCGAGATCGCGTTTGCGGAAACGTACCTCGACGTCGCTTATCGTTCTGTCGACGTTCAGGACGTTGTAGAAGGACGATCTCACCTGTAGGAGTACGATCCATCCGGAGAAGAGTCTTGCGATTGTCGCAATATGGCGAAACGTCTGCCATAATAATCAGGATTGTACGGGTATCTATTGACTTGGGCGCAGGCCACCGCCATGAATCCGAACAAAAGCATCTGGGAAGACAAAAACGCATCAATTATTACTCTGTCGATGGCTGAGTCAGGTTAGCTGGAAAATTAATATTTAACTTAGCAAGAATTAAATTAAAATTTTTAATTCTTCAAATGGGTGAAATTAAATGTAATGAAATACATGTCTAAATGTATTAACATATTCTTGGATAAATTGAGATATGAAGCAACTTTTTTAGTTTTTAAATATATTGATTTCCATTTAAATTTAACAGGAATTCATTCAAATTTTAATTCTTCAAACGGGGGAAGAATTAAATGTAACTTTTTAGATAATAGTAACATGGTTTTTACAGAGAAAAGGAAAAATGAAAAATATATTAATATATTCTTGGAAAACATGTATTTTGGTTTTGAAATATATTAAATAATTCCACAAATGCACCGATTTCTGTGTAGGTGTGTAAAGTAATGGAAAATCTATAAAATTGGTCGTGTAATTATAGAGGAAAGAATATTATCTACGAGGAAATCGTTAGACCTTATCCAGTTATGACACGGCCGGAGGAAAGTTTTTAAATATTACGAGAACACTTGCACACATTATAATATAAAATTATTCAATTAGCAAATTTATTCACTTATTTTTGGAAAAATCTTTAAAAGCTAAAAATTTAACGATAATCGAATTATAAATTTATTTTATCGATTGCGACTAGTAACAAGTGATTTTTATTCAGATAAAAATATGAAAAATTTTATCAGGTAAATGATTGAGTTTGAAACGGATTCTTTCGATGTTATTTCAACTTTCACAGAGGCTAGTGTTGCGCATTTGCTTTATTATGCGTATTAGTCATGCAGAAGGGCCGATAGATGGGTCACAAGTGGGCAGGCCAAGTACATTACTTATGAATACTTATATGAAATTTATGCATCGCATTCCTCACAACTATTTTATCGCCGCTATTAATCCGCCGATTAATTCGCGTCAGAGGAATCTCATTGTTCGACAAAATGATTGGGAGCCAAAGAATATATAGATATCGATTTCGTTGGGAACGCGCTTCCTTCGAAACGTATGAATTTAAATGGACTTATATAATCTGCATCGGTGATCATATTACGTTGTTAGCGAGGTGATTAACTTATTATCTCGTAATTGTATTTTAATTCTATCACACTTTTGAGTTATATTTAATTGTACCGTATCTCGCGAAAGATTTAAGATCGAACGATACGCGTTACAAAGCATGTTCTTGAAAAACTCGAGGAAGCCTCTGCATTAATCTACCAATTAAAAGCGAATACATATTGCCGATATATCCTTCGAGTTACTTCCAAATCTCCTTCGCGGCTAATCGTCGTGAAAATATCTTAAATCTCGCGACTACCGTACGGAATTAATGAATCGTCGAACGCTTTGAAAGTATTATTTTTCGCAACACTGTTTAAATAAAGAAGGAATTTTAAAAATTAAAATCGAGGTAAATAAGAGACCGCCGGTGTTAATTTTGAAATCTTCGAAAAGTATTTTTAAACTTCGGTTTCACGATTTTTAATTGTGCTTTTAATGTTGTTATTAATTATCGAAGGGACTCACGAGAATTTTCATGGTGTCTGACAGCAGAAATTGAATATCCTTGGTAGAGGTGGTTCCACGTTTTCGAAAAACGATCCTCGGATTACGGATCCACTGAAATCTCGGAAGGGTCACGTGACAAGAGCTTGTTCTATCCGGTGGTGTGTAAAAGTATGCAACCAGACGGATCACGTTGAGGCTATATAGTCGCCACAGTACCCTGCTTCTGCCTCCTTCGTACCCCGCCACCGTTTTATGGACGTTGAAGGGGAGAATATGCCTCGTGCATTCGCGTAATTCGTGAACAGGGTAGCGATTGCATCTGCCGTCGTTTGATGAATCCGGTTAATTATAGGAGTATTTATATGTCAGACGTCGGCGTACAGATTTTCAGTATGCATTATTTACGCAATTTACAAGGTGGTGCCAATTAAACGATCAAACCAGCATGGCCGAACAGCGAAACCGAGAAAGGACGCGTTATATAAATCTGGTCTCGAAAACCGCTTGTTCGAAATAATTCCTTATCTCCTCCATTTTAATCATTGTCTCGGTTATTCGTTAGATGTTACATCTTGCAATGTTTTTTTTATTTCTTACCTCTTCGTATTTTTTTTTTTTTTTCATTTCCTCAGTTTCGATGTACGGTTACGTACTTTTTTTATTTTAATTATTTACTTTAGATGTCCCTCGATTTAAAGGAATTCTTTAACGCTTATCTTATTTCTCAATAATGTTTATATTTTTTATTGATCATTATTCAAGATTATAATTATCGTTAGTCACTAATTCATTCCTAAATACTAAATATCTTAACTATATTTTTTTTTTACAAATTTCCAATCTCTCGATGTGCTTCTCTCTACAATTCACTTAACCAAAATATAATTTTGTCTATTCTATTCATTTTCATCGCGTTAATCATTGCATAAAAAATGCTGCTGTCTCCAACAAAATAAATTTTAAATTCTTCCAAAAATATTTACAAAAATATGAAATTACATAGTCAGAATACTATATGTGCATTGTATATACAGGGTATTCGGCCAACCATGGGAAAAATTTTAATGGGGGATTCTAGAGGTCAAAATAAGACGAAAATCAAGAATACCAATTTGTCGATTAAGGCTTCGTTAAAAAATTATTAACATTTAAAGTTCTGCCCGTACTGAATTTTTTTCTTGAAAATGCACAGGATTTCAGGGATATGTCTATTCACCAAAAATGATTGTAATTGACTCCCACAACCGAACATAATTTTTCCAGAATGATTTGAAATATTTTTTTTTCGTCGAAATATTTCACACCTTCTCGAATTTTTTTCTAGAAAGTGGGTAGGATTTCGGGGGTATGTCTATTCACCAAAAATGATTGTAATTGACCCCTGTAACTAAATATAATTTTTTTAATATGATTTGAAATTTTTTAATTTCGTGTAAAAATTTCAGCACCTACTCGAATTTTTTCTAGAAGGTGGGTAGGATTTCGGGGGTATGTCTATTCACCAAAAATGATTGTAATTGACCCCTGTAATTAAATATAATTTTTTAAATATGATTTGAAATTTTTTAATTTCGTGTAAAAATTTCAGCACCTACTCGAATTTTTTCTAGAAGGTGGGTAGGATTTCGGGAGTATGCCTATTCACCAAAAATGATTGTAATTGACCCCCGCAACCGAAAACAATTTTTTAAGAACGATTTGAAATTTTTGAATTTAATTGTTAATAACTTTTTAACGAAGTCTCCATCAGCAAATTGGTATTCTTGATTTTCGTCTTATTTTGGCCTCTAGAATCCCTCATTAAAATTTTTCCCAGGGGTGGCCGAATACCCTGTATAGCATCTCCAACAAAATAAATTTAAAATTCAATCAAAAACACTTACAAAAATAAACATGAAACAATAAGGACGCTATATGTTCATTGTATAACATCTCCAACAAAATAAATTTTAAATTCTTCCAAAAGTATTTAGAAAAATACGAAATAAAATAGTCAGAATACTATATGCTCATTGTATGATATCTCCAACGAAATAAATTTATAATTCGTCGAACATAAATTTACGGAAAAGTGAAATAAAAATCTAGTAAGGACACTTCCATTGTATAGTGACGATTAGTGTAGTTTGAATGTTTCTTGTTAGCGAAAATGCGGTTTCTCGATTCTATTACTTCCTAGTTAGCATTTGAAAGGATTTTTACGAGGATGCATAACGCACACGCAGGAGTTCTCTCGCGTGTTCGGCCATATTACCGTTTAAATGCGACGGGGGGATAAGAGTGTGAGAAGTTTAACACGACGCGGCCATCAAAGAGCCGTCATTAGGTCGCGAGCTTTGCAATGTCTCGTAAGACGCGGACCGCGGCGACCTCGCCACAGGATTCAGATCGCCGGATTTGCCACGGATCATCACAGGGCGTATTCCTTTCACTGGCTGTCTGTTACGAGCAGGATGCACGATGCAACGATTCACTGCACCGCATCGGCTGATCCTTGCGACATTCCGCGTACAACACTGACGCATTCTCGTTTTTTCGAATCGATGCTTTTTGCCGCCATAACCTCCAATTGCCCCTACTCGACTCGCGGTGCACGCGAACCCGTTTAACTGCAATATTTCTAACCAACGGCCGATCGTGTCGAGGAGTATTCACTAGAGACAGGTGGCAACCACTTCAAACAACCGGGTTGGTTCGTATGATAGGAATCTATTGATTATCAATAGGACTTATTAAACGATTATCGATCGTTTAATAACTGAATTTACAAAATGGAGGACGTCGATGTATCTGAGAATTAATTGACACAATCGTCGTCGTCTGATGTATATCGATTAAATTGGTTTACATAAAATGGAGTTCTACTGAACTTGAAGTCGCACATCTATTGCCGCTTCCTCGACAAAGAGCGAAGGGATGGAAAATCTGGATTCCTAGGGCGTCCCAAGTCTCCAGTTGTTCGCTGGAATTTTCAGTAAACGCGAAACAGGTACAACGAGTCGTTCGGCGAGAACGAGATTACGAGGAGGCGCGAGGGATTGGATTGAGCTGTCCGTCGAGGGAACAAACTGGGAGAGAGGTAGATACTGACGTCCTAGATGGGCACGGCTTCCTTCCTCGGTGTAGAAACGCGTGGAGGCAGAGATGAAGGTACTTCCTCGACGACTTGGGTCCTTTTTTCCATAAAGTTCGACGAGTTGTTAGGAAATTACCGTAGTGAGCGAAGCAGTCGTGCACCAAAGCGATACAGTGAAATATTGGTCACTAAAAAAGGCTCATACAAGAGGATTTTTGTAAGTTAGGTAAATTTTATATCGAATCGAATTTAATAGCCGATGAAAATATTACGAGCAATCGATAATTATGATTTATGAGAAAATTTTTTTTGAGGAGCCATCTGGAACAAAATTTAATATAGTTTCTGTAACATAATCTCTCTTCCAAACAGACTCCCATGAGAAAAATTAATTTACGAATGAATATCAAATTTTTACGCGTCACTCGTGAATAAAATTTGTCCAACCTTGCCGACGATGCATTATTCATTTGAATAAAGCATTATTCCATTATTCATTGTATTGATTTTTATCTTCCATTTGCTGCAAGGTTTTCTATTTTCGCCACCAAGGGCCTCCAGCAATATCTTACGAGCCAATAATCGAAGTCATTTTCCATGTACACTGTACCAATATTAGCCTCTAAAAGTTCGACTCGAATTTGGATCAGTTTGCTAAGTCATTCTTACCAATCCATCAATAATTTTTCTCGAGATTCCCAATCGTGGAATAAAATGGCGCCATATTTCCAGTTTGGAGAATCTCTGGCTTGCGTTTCCTAACATAACCTACTTCCACAGTTTATGAAGTCTTCCGAATATGCTTTTGTCTGTAAAAAATGCTCGTGGTTCGTGCCCCGTAAAAATAGTTGGACGGTGCAGTGACGAGCCATCTTCGTGTCACACCTTCGTGTCGTGCAGATCCGCGTGTCGCATAGATTTTCAAGCGTTTTCCCGCCTTTACGGCTCTGCAGACACGGCCCCTGTGGGCTTGGGATTGAGATACATCCAATCAGCGCGTCGACGCTGGTTAGGTTAGCCTTAGAACTACCAGTACGATACCGGGTTGCAAGCCCCATCTATCACACTGGTTGGTGCAAAGCCTTTCTAAACCTCTGCCGTTTCTGCAAGACGGTACGCGAGTTGATTAATCGCTTCTCACATGACAAGCCTTTAACTCTATCCCGCGATGTAGGTGCACCAACTGCCATCGCGACGAGTTCAACCTCATCGGCCGCCTCGCCAGTCTGGGGGACTAAGCAAACTGTCGTTAGAAGGCTTGGGAGGGACTGGCAAACAGTCAACTATATCCACCTTTTACGCCAACCCCCCCTGTGAATCTATTTATTTTTTTCTAAACTTTAAAGTGTCGAAAGTGCATCCTTCGATTCGTTGCTAATAACTCGTGTGTCATTAGAGAAAATTAACATTAAAAAATTACTGTACAATCTTCGTGAGTATATTAATAATCATACCGAGTCTCGGTTTATTACATAGCGTACTTGTCTGTTAAAAAAAATTCTAAATATTGTTCATTTTTCGACCCGAGACATAACCTCAAAATGACGACACTTCAGAGAGAACCTCACACATAGAACCATTTTTTATAGTTCAATGTTTGTTAAGAATACAGGACTTGTTCGAAGGGATTAAAATTTAGATAATAGATTTGTTTTGTCGTTGGAGAGGGGGGAGTCGAGTTCCAGTAGTCCTGCTCCCACTCGTATTCGCTACTGTATAGATTCATCCGCGAGTATATTATAAGCCACCGTATATGGAGGATAAGATTGAGCAGCATGCGATCTCATAGAATTACAAACCACGTGCCAGTTATGCCGGCTGTGTGGGGTTATTTAAGAACAGCGCAGTAATCCGCCCTCGGATCTGCATACGTCTTCTCGAACTACTTGAGAAAGCGGTTAGGATCATCTTTCATTTCTTTCACCTGAAAGCGATTGCCCATCCTTCGTCGATATTTCTACATACCGTATCTACATGCACCGTCATATTCATATTTTTCTGCATACTTTCAGATGCACGATTATGTTTTGCCATTTGCGTAGGAAAACGTCTCTCTGTACGTGTAAATTAATTTCACAATTGTTACCTCGGTTGGTATTTG